GACGTAAGCGGCGTGCCCAGCCAGGGGGCGTGGCCAGCGCGGAGTGGGCGTGGCTTGGGGCGATCCCCGGGGTTTTGGGGCGGCCCCAAAAACAGCGGGGGGGTGGGGGGGGAATTTGGGGCGCTCGGGGGCTCTGTGGGGCCGGGAAGGGTCAGGGACGAAGGGGGGGACCCCGAGAATTTGGGGGGGCGCTGTGGGGCCCGTGGAAAGCCAAAAATGTCCCAAAATCCCATAAATGCCCCAAAACCCCATAAATGCCCCAAAACCCCAGAAATGTCCCAGAACCCCATAAATGCTCCAAAACCCCATCAAAACCCCATAAATGTCCCCAAACCCCATAGAAACCCCATAAATGCCCCAAAACCCCATAAATGTCCCCAAACCCTATAAAAACCCCATAAATGCCCCAAAACCCCATAGAAACCCCATCAAAACCCCATAAATGCCCCAAAACGCCATAAAAAACCCATAAATGCCCTAAAATCCCATAAATCCCCATAAATGCCCTAAAACCCCCAAAAACCCCATAAACCCCATAAATTAAAAACCCCATTAAACCCCATAAAACAAAAAAAAAAATCCCCCTAAACCCCATAAATCCCATAAACCCCATAAAATCCCATCAACCCATAAAACCACAAAAATCTCATTAACCCCATAAAACCCCATAAACCCCATAAACCCTATAAAATCCCAAAAACCCCATAAATCCCATAAACCCCACAAAATCCCATAAAACCCCATAAAATCCCATAAACCCCACAAACCCCATAAAAGCCCATAAACTCCGTAAAATCCCATAAACCCCATTAAACCCCAAAAACCCTATTAATCCCATAAAACCCCACAAACCCCATAAAATCCCATAAAACCCCATAAACTCCATAAAATCCCATAAAATCCCATAAAACCCCATAAACTCCATAAAATCCCATAAAATCCCATAAAACCCCATAAACCCCATAAATTAAAAACCCCATTAAACCCCATAAAACAAAAAAAAAAATCCCCCTAAACCCCATAAATCCCATCAACCTCATAAAACCCCAAAAATCTCATAAACCCCATAAAATCCCATAAACCCCACAAACAGAAGCATAAATCCTTTATTTCTCTGGGAACGATCCCATTCCCGGCCCCTTTGGGATGGGTTTGGGGTTTCCTTTTGGGATGGATTTGGGGATTTTCCCATTTGGGATGGGTTTGGGATGTCCCCATTTGGGATTTTCCCCTTCTGGATGGATTTGGGGTTTCCCTTTGGGGTGGATTTGGGATTTCCCCTTCAGGATAGGTTTGGGGTTTCCCTTTGGGGTGGGTTTGGGGTCAGTCATTCCCTCTATGGGGTGGGTTTGGGGTCCGTCTGTCCCTTTGGGGTGTGTTTGGGTCCGTCTGTCCCTCTATGGGGTCTGTCTGTCCCCCCGTGTCCGTCTGTCCCTATATGGGTCCGTCAGTCACTCCGTGTGTCCATCAGTCCGTCAGTCCCTCGGCGTGTCCGTCGGTCCCTCTGTCAGTCCCTCAGTGTGTCCGTCTGTCCCTCTATGGGTCCGTTGGTCCCTCTGTCAGTCCCTCAGTGTGTCCGTCTGTCCCTCCATGGGTCCGTCAGTCCCTCAGTGTGTCCGTCTGTCCCTCCATGGGTCCGTCAGTCCCTCAGTGTGTCCGTCTGTCCCTCCATGGGTCCGTCAGTCCCTCAGTGTGTCCGTCTGTCCCTCCATGGGTCCGTCAGTGGGATTTCCCTTTGGGATGGATTTGGGGTTTCCTTTTGGGATGGGTTTGGGGTTTCCCTTTGGGATGGATTTGGGGTTTCCTTTTTGGATGGATTTGGGATTTCCCTTTGGGATGGATTTGGGGTTTCCTTTTGGGATGGATTTGGGGATTTTCCCATTTGGGATTTTCCCCTTCTGGATGGATTTGGGGTTTCTCTTTGGGACGGGTTTGGGGTTTTCTCTTTGGGATGGATTTGGGGTTTCCCTTTGGAGGGGGTTTGGGATTTCTCCTTTGGGGCGGGTTTGGGATTTCCCCTTCTGGATGGATTTGGGGTTTCCCTTTGGGGTGGATTTGGGATTTCCCCTTCAGGATAGGTTTGGGGTTTCCCTTTGGGGTGGGTTTGGGGTCAGTCATTCCCTCTATGGGGTGGGTTTGGGGTCCGTCTGTCCCTTTGGGGTGTGTTTGGGTCCGTCTGTCCCTCTATGGGGTCTGTCTGTCCCCCCGTGTCCGTCTGTCCCTATATGGGTCCATCAGTCACTCCGTGTGTCCATCAGTCCGTCAGTCCCTCGGCGTGTCCGTCGGTCCCTCTGTCAGTCCCTCAGTGTGTCCGTCTGTCCCTCTATGGGTCCGTTGGTCCCTCTGTCAGTCCCTCAGTGTGTCCGTCTGTCCCTCCATGGGTCCGTCAGTCCCTCAGTGTGTCCATCTGTCCCTCTGTGGGTCCGTCAGTCCCTCTATGGGTCCGTCGGTCCCTCTGTCAGTCCCTCAGTGTGTCCGTCTGTCCCTCCATGGGTCCGTCAGTCCCTCAGTGTGTCCGTCTGTCCCTCTATGGGTCCGTTGGTCCCTCTGTCAGTCCCCCAGTGTGTCCGTCAGTCCCTCGGCGTGTCCGTCAGCCCCTCCGTCGGTGCCTCGGCATGTCTGTCAGTCCCTCGGTGTGTCCGTCAGTCCCTCGGTGTGTCCGTCAGTCCCTCGGCATGTCCGTCAGTCCCTCCGTCAGTCCCTCGGCGTGTCCGTCAGTCCCTCCGTGGGTGCCTCGGCGTGTCCGTCGGTCCCTCCGTCAGTCCCTCCGTCAGTCCCTTGGCGTGTCCGTCAGTCCCTCCGTCAGTCCCTCCGTGGGTGCCTCGGCGTGTCCGTCAGTCCCTCAGCGTGTCCGTCAGTCCCTCGGCGTGTCCGTCAATCCCTCGGCGTGTCCGTCAGTCCCTCCGTGGGTGCCTCGGCGTGTCCGTCTGTCCGGCAGCGCAGGCCGGCATCCTCGGCGTGCCCGCAGTTGCTGCGGCCCCATCCCGAGAAGGGGCAGAGCTGCAGGGCGGCCTCGCTGCCCGCGCACGACACGTCGTCCATCCAGATCTGCCCCGAGCCTGCGGACGGACACACGGACACACGGACACCCACATTCCGGCACCCCGGGCACCCAGCTCCGGGGGTCCCCCAGGGACAGAATTCCAGGGATCCCCCAAGGATGGAATTCTGGGGATTCCTCAAGGACAGAACTCCACGGATCCCACAGGGCTGGAATTCCATGGATCGCACAGGGCTGCAATTCCAGGGATCCCCCAAGGACAGAATTCCATGGATTCCACACGGCTGCAATTCCAGGGATCCCCCAAGGATAGAATTCCATGGATCCCACAGGGCTGGAATTCCAGGGATGCCCCAAGGACGGAACTCTGGGGATGCCCCAAGGATGGAATTCTGTGGATTCCTTAAGGATGGAAATCCGGGGATCCCACAAGGACAGAACTCCATGGATTCCACAGGACTGGAATTCCATGGATCCCACAGGGCTGCACTTCCAGGGATCCCCCAAGGACAGAATTCCATGGATCCCACACGGCTGCAATTCCAGGGATCCCCCAAGGACAGAATTCCATGGATTCCACACGGCTGCAATTCCAGGGATCCCCCAAGGACAGAATTCCATGGATCCCACAGGGCTGGAATTCCGGAGATGCCCCAAGGACGGAACTCTGGGGATGCCCCAAGGATGGAATTCTGGGGTTTCCTTAAGGATGGAAATCCGGGGATCCCACAAGGATGGAATTCTATGGATCCCACAGGGCTGCAATTCCAGGAATCCCCCAAGGACAGAATTCCATGGATCCCACACGGCTGGAATTCCAGGGATCCCCCAAGGACAGAATTCCATGGATCTCACACGGCTGGAATTCTGAGGATGCCCCAAGGACAGAATTCTGGGGATCCCTCAAGGACAGAATTCCATGGATCCAACATGGCCAGAATTCCATGGATCCCACAGGGCTGGAATTCCTGGGATCCCTGTGCCAGGGATAGGAATCCCTGGTATCCCGCATGGCCAGAATTTCTGGGATTCCACGCGGCCAGAATTTCTGGGATCCCGGGCAGCCGGGGGATCCATGGAATATCCACAGAATATCCATGGAATATCCACGGATCCATCAGGTCCTGGAGACCCCGGAGCTGCTCCAAGAGCTGGGAATGTGCAGCTGGATCAGGGAAGGATCCAGGGAATCCTTGGAGCCTTTTCCAGGGGCTCCAGGAGAGCTGGGATTTGGGCAAGGGCTGGAGGGCCAGGAGCCAGGGAATGGCTCCCAGTGGGAAAGGGGAGCTTGGGATGGTGGGATCTTGGGAAGGAATTCCCGGCTGGGCTGGAATTCCCAGAGAATCCCTGGATCCCTGGTGGTTCCCAAGGAAAGGTGGGATGGATGGAGCCGTGGTGGGAGGAGACATCCCAAGGTCTCCCGAGGCGGGAATGAGGGACAGCAGCTCCAGAGGGTTCCGGCTGCGCTCCCGGAGCGGCTTTTCCCTGATCCTCCAGCTCCGAGAGCCCGGAGAGGCCACCCAAGGAGCTCAGAGGAATTATGGAATCTCCAGCCCAGGAAGGGATCCCCAGGATCACCGATCCCCCCTGGATCCCCACCCTGATCCCTCAAATCCCAGATCCCAGGGAATATCTCCTGGAGGCTCCCGGGGCTCCAGCGGGGTCAGGGAGGTCCCAGTTCCTCGAGGAGCTGTTCCCGAATCCCAAGGAGCCGCTCTGGGATCCCGAGGAGCCATTCCCAATCCCGAGGAGCCATTCCCAATCCCGAGGAGCCATTCTCTGGGATCCCAGGAGCCATTCCCGAATCCCACAGGAGCCATTCCCAAATCCCAAGGAGCCATTCCCAAATCCCAAGAAGCGTTCCCAAATCCCACAGGAGGTGTTTCCAATCCCGAATCCCATTCTCAATCCCGAGAAGCCGTTTCCGATCCCGAATCCCGTTCCCGATCCCGAGGATCCGTTCCCGGTCCCATTCCCAATCCTGTTCCCGATCCCGAGGATCCATTCCCGATCCTGTTTCCGATCCCAAGGATCCGTTCCTGATCCTGTTCCCATTCCCGAGGATCCGTTCCCGATCCTGTTCCCAATCCCGAATCCCGTTCCCGATCCTGTTCCCAATCCCAAGGATCCGTTCCCGATTCTGTTCCCATTCCCGAGGATCCGTTCCCGATCCTGTTCCTGATCCCATTCCCAATCCCGAGGATCTGTTCCCTTTCCCCTTCCCAGTCCTGTTTCCAATCCCGAGGATCTGTTCCCGATCCCGTTCCCGATCCCGAATCCCGAGGATCCATTCCCTATCCCGTTCCCAATCCCGAATCCCGTTCCCGATCCCGAATCCCGTTCCCGAATCCTGTTCCCTATCCCGTTCCGAATCCTGAATCCCGTTCCCGAATCCTGTTCCCGATCCTGTTCCTGATCCCAAATCCCGTTCCCGATCCCATTCCCAATCCCGAGGATCTGTTCCCGATCCCCTTCCCGATCCCAAGTCCCGTTCCCGATCCTGTTCCCGATCCCGTTCCCGAATCCCGTTCCCGTTCCCGAATCCCATTCCCGTTCCCATTCCCGATCCCATTCCCAATCCCGTTCCCATGCCCGAGGATCCGTTCCCATTCCCGATCCCAATCCTGTTCCCGTTCCCATTCCCAATCCCGAATCCCGTTCCCATTCCCGTTCCCGTTCCCATTTCCGTTCCCATTCCCGATCCTGTTCCCGTTCCCGATCCTGTTCCCAATCCCGAATCCCGATCCCGATCCTGTTCCCAATCCCGAATCCCGATCCCGATCCCATTCCCGATCCCGATCCCGTTCCCGTTCCCGGTCCCACCTTGCCCGAAGCGCGCCATGCGGAAGACGGCGGCGGCGCCGGGGAAGCCCAGCATGCGGCACGCCACGTCGCCGTCGCGGCTGTCCCAGCCGTCGTCGCAGACCGAGCCCCAGCGGCGCTCGTGGAAGATCTCCAGGCGCCCCTCGTGCGCCCCGGAGCCGTTCACCAGCCGCACCGAGCCCTCGGCCGGGGCTGCGGCAGCGCCGTCAGACACGGGGACAGCAGGCATGGGGACGGCGGGCATGGGGACAGCCATGGGGACAGCGCCGTCAGACACGGGGACGGCGCCTCGGGGAGCAAATCCATGGGGACAGCGCAGACACGGGGAACAAATCCATGGGGACAGCGGGCATGGGGACAGCGGGCATGGGGACAGCCATGGGAACAGCGGGCACGGGGACAGCCATGGGGACAGCGGGCACGGGGACAGCGGGCACGGGGACAGCCATGGGGACAGCACCGTTAGACACGGGGACGGCACCACGGGGACAGCGCTGTCAGACACGGGGACGGCACCACGGGGAGCAAATCCATGGGGACAGCACCGTCAGACACGGGACAGCGGGCACAGGGACAGCCATGGGGACAGCCATGGGGACAGCGGGCATGGGGACAGCCATGGGGACAGCACCGTCAACCACGGGGACAGTGAGCACGGGGATGCAATCCATGAGAATGTAATCCATGGGGACAGCGCCATCAGACACGGGGACGGCGCCACGGGGACAGCCATGGGGACAGCGCCGTCAGACACGGGGACGGCGGCAGGGGGACAGGGGCACGGGGACGGCGGGCATGGGGACAGCCATGGGGACAGCGGGCACGGGGACAGCCATGGGGACAGCCATGGGGACAGCGCCGTCAGCCACGGGGACGGCACCACGGGGAGCAAATCCATGGGGACAGCACCGTCAGACACGGGGATGGCACCATGGGGACAGCCATGGGGATAGCGGCACGGGGACAGGGGCACGGGGACAGCAGACATGGGGACAGCCACGGGGACAGCGCCGTCAGCCATGGGGACAGCACCATCAGCCATGGGGACAGCGGGCACGGGGACAGCCATGGGGACAGCGTCGTCAGACATGGGGACACCGGGCACAGGGACAGTGGCACGGGGACAGCGCCGTCAGCCACGGGGACAGCGGGCACGGGGACAGCCATGGGGACAGCACCATCAGCCACGGCGACAGCACCGTCAGCCATGGGGACAGCGGGCACGGGGACAGCCATGGGGACAGCACTGTCAACCACGGGGACAGGGGGCACGGGGACAGCGAGCACGGGGATGCAATCCATGAGAATGTAATCCGTGGGGACAGCGCCATCAGACACGGGGACGGTACCACGGGGACAGCCATGGGGACAGCGGGCACGGGGACAGCGAGCATAGGGATGTAATCCATGGGAATGTAATCCATGGGGACAGCCGTCAGCCACGGGGACGGCACCACGGGGACAGCGGCACGGGGACAGCCATAGGGATGTAATCCATGGGGACAGCACCATCAGACACGGGGACGGCACCACGGGGAGCAAATCCATGGGGACAGCGCCGTCAGACACGGGACAGCGGGCACAGGGACAGCCATGGGGACAGCACTGTCAACCACGGGGACAGGGGGCACGGGGACAGCGAGCACGGGGATGCAATCCATGAGAATGTAATCCGTGGGGACAGCGCCATCAGACACGGGGACGGCACCACGGGGACAGCGGCACGGGGACAGCCATAGGGATGTAATCCATGGGGACAGCGCCATCAGACACGGGGACGGCACCACGGGGACAGCCATGGGGACAGCGCCGTCAGACACGGGGACGGCAGCACAGGGACGGCGGGCATGGGGACAGCCATGGGGACAGCGGGCACGGGGACAGCGAGCACAGGGATGTAATCCATGGGAATGTAAACCATGGGGACAGCGCCGTCAGACACGGGGACGGCACCACGGGGACAGCCATGGGGATGGCGGCATGGGGACAGCCATGGGGACAGCCATGGGGACAGCCATGGGGACAGCGCCATCAGCCATGGGGACAGTGGCATGGGACAGCCATGGGGACAGCCATGGATGGGGACAGCGCCGTCAGACACGGGGACGGCACCACGGGGACAGCCATGGGGATGGCGGCATGGGGACAGCCATGGGGACAGCCATGGGGACAGCGGGCATGGGGACAGCAGGCACAGGGATGTAATCCATGGGGATGTAATCCGTGGGGATGTAATCCGTGGGGACTGTGGGCACGGGGACAGCGGCATGGGGACAGCAACCATGGGGATGTAATCCATGGGGACAGCAGCCATGGGGACAGAAGCCATGGGGACATCAGCCGTGGCCATGGGGACAGCAGCCATGGGGACAGCAGCCATGGGGATGTAATCCATGCCATGGGGACAGCTGGTGACATCATCCGTGGTGACATCATCCATGCTGGCATCTCCAGGGATGGTATCCCCAGGCTGGGATGTCCCTGGGATTCCATGGGGAATGTCCCCAAGGAGCAACATCCCGGGGATTCCATGGGGAATGTCCCCAGGCTGGGATGTCCCTGGGGCGGCAGGCAGGGCGTCCCACACCTGGCGGACACTTCCGGCATTCCCGACCTCCTCCCTCCGGCATTCCCGGTCCTTTCCCGTCCCCTCCCACCTTCCCCGGCTGCGGCTCCTCCTCGCCCAGGCAGGAGAACCCCGGGATGGTTTTCCCAGCCTCAGGAATTCCTCTTCGCATCAGGAATCTTCCCAGCCCGAGCTCCCAATTCCCAAAAAATCTCCCCCAGGAACTCACCGCTGCCACCGGCGGCTCCTCTGTCCCCCTTGTCCCCCTTGTCCCCCTTGGGGCCGCGCTCGCCTGGGAAGAGACAAGCCGGAATTTTTGGGGTTTGTTGACCCCCCCAACAGCCCCCAGACCCCATAAATCCCCACCCCTCTTTGGTAGCCTTGGACCCCCAGAAATCCCCAGAAATTCCTGGAAATTCCCAGAAAATCCCAGAAATTCCCAGAAATTCCCGTAAATCCCCATCCCTCTTTGATGCCCCTGGACCCCCAGAAATCTCCAGAAATTCCCATAAATCCCCATCCCTCTTTGACCCCCATCACTGCCGACATCCCATTTCCCATCCCTGCTCCCAAAACTGGGAAATCCCAAAAATTATCCGGTAAGGCGTTCCGCGGCAGCGGGAAGAGGAGGTCCTGGGGCTCCTGGAATTCCTGACTGCAGATCCCATAAAAGGCAACAAAACCCCTGGATTTTGGGATGAAATTCCCAATTTGGGGGTGGAAAACCCCGTTTGGGGCAAAAAACGCCTCATTTGGGGGTCAGGGGTGGGGATTCCCAAATCCCTGAGGAAGCACCAGGAAATCATGGAATGGTATCCATGGAAAAGGGCGATGCCAGGGGGTTGGAGCAGCTGGATAAACATTCCCACTCGTTTGATATCCCAGGAATGATTCCATATCCCAGCCATGGTTTGGTATCCCGGGAATGATTCCATATCCCAGCCATGGTTTGGTATCCCGGGAATGATTCCATATCCCAGCCATGGTTTGATATCTGGGAATGATTCCATATCCCAGCCATGGTTTGGTATCCCGGGAATGATTCCATATCCCAATTACAGTTTGCTATCCCGTTAATGACCTCACTAACGAGCTCGGACATTCCTTGGCTCTCCCGGAGCCTGCTCCTCCCTCATTCCCAGCTTTTCCCGGCCCTGAGCAGGACCCCAGGCTGGGATTTGCTGATCCTGCCTTGGCCAAGCCTGGCCCGATCCCAAGGAAAGGCTCGGGGACGCTCCAGCCTCCAGGAACAACAAACAACACCCAAAAATCCGGGAGGGAGGAAAACATCGGATGTGAAACGATCCCAAAAAGCCAGAGCTGGGCAGGAAATTCCTGCCTGCTCCCTGGGAGGCTGCGGGAGCGCGGGATTGGTCCCGCGGGCTGTGTGGGATGGAGCTGATGGGATCCAGATGGAAACTGCCGGGAATGGGGCCAGGGATGCAGCCCCGGCTCCTCGCATCCAGAAACCGGGATTGGGAAGTGTCAGTTCCGGGTTTTGGTGGGTTCCTCCCCAAAATGGGACGGGAGAGGGGGTGGAGGGATCCCAGGAAATGGATTTGTCCTGGGATGATCCCAGAGCTGGGGCAGCAGGAAAAGGGGGAGGGTCCTGCCCAGGTGAGGCCCCGGGATCCTGACTCCGGGAGGAGAAATTCCAGAGGAGGCCACGGAGATCTCCTGGAGCCAGGCTGGGAGAGCTGGGAATGTGCAGCTGGATCAGGGAAGGATCCAGGAATTCCTTGGAGCCTTTTCCAGAGGCTCCAGGAGAGCTGGGATTTGGGAAAGGGCTGGAGGGCCAGGAGCCAGGGAATGGCTTCCAGTGGGAAAGGGGAGCTTGGGATGGTGGGATCTTGGGAAGGAATTCCCGGCTGGGCTGGAATTCCCAGAGAATCCCTGGATCCCTGGCAGTGCCCAAGGGTGGATTTGGATTACCCTGGGATGTGGGAAGTGTCCCTGGGATCATGGCATTGAAGGTCCATGGATCCCATCCCAAACCATTCCAGGATTCTGGGATCAAGGACACTCAGGATCCATCCTGAGGGATTTTTATGGGATTCAGGGATGGAAAAGGGAAGGGAGGCCCTTCCTGGAGTCCAGAATTCCCAGTGAATCCCTGCATCCCTGTCAGTGTCCAAGGAAATGCTGGATCACCCTGGGATCATGGAATGTGGAAGAGGATTCCCATCCTAAAATCCCAATTCCCCAGCTTGTCCCGGTTTCCGTCGAGCAGCAGCAATCTGGGAATCCTGGAATGGTTTGGGTGGGAAAGGACCTTCAATCCCATCCCATTCCAACCCCGACACCTCCCGCTATTCCCAGGGTGCTCCAACCTTTCCTGGGACACTCCCGGGGATCCAGGGGCAGCCGCAGCTCCTCTGGCTCCTTCCTTCCCCCCTTTCCCAACTCACCTCTCTTCCCAGGAATTTTCTGGTGGGAATAACTCAGCTCCTGAGGTGTCGGGGCTGGAGAAGATCCCAAAAAATGGGATCCCATTCCCGGAGAGCCTGGAGGGAGCCTCGGGGCTGGGACAGAGCCCGGGAATTTGGGAGAATCCTCTCCCACTCCGTCCTGCCTTCCCCCAGCGACCATCAAAGCATTCCAGGCCTTTTTCCCATCTTTTTTTTTTTTGGGATTGGGCACAAAATGTAGGCGCAGACACAGTGACAGAGACCCTCAGCTCTTCCCATGGATCTGCAGGGAGTGATGGATCCCAAAATCTTGGGAAAAGCCCCAGGAGAATCCACCAATCCCGGGTGGAGTCAGGTTCTGCCTCCAGGAACATTCCCAAAAAACTCCTCCCTGGGGATGTTCCGGAAGGAATCTTCTCGTATCACCCCAAATTTATCCCTGAATTACGATCCCAGCTTGGATTTTTCCTGCTCTTTCCTCCTGAGTGTATTCCCTGCACGGCCTTTTCCATGGAAAAGTGGGAGCCCGGACCTGTCCTCACTTCCCAGGATAATGTTTTCCCATTTGGAAATGAGGAAAAAAAATCCTCCACCGGGGTCATTTTGAGGAGAAATCCATCAAAAATGGGAAAATACCAACAAGGAAAGGAATTCGGGAATCTGCCGTTCCTCTGCCAGGTTGGAGCTGCTCCGGGAGAGTTTTAAACCTGGAATTTTCCATGAGGAGGCTCCTCCACCCCTAAAACCCCCATCCCAGGATTCCTGGGATGAAATTCCCTTGGCAGGAATTCCTTGGAGAAGGGTCCTGCAGAAATCCGGGGTTTAAGGCAAAGCCTGGCTTTGGATCTGGGCCCAGGCCCGGGTCTGTTCCCCGTAAATTCCAGAGAATCCCATAAACTGCCCGAGCACTGCCAGAGGGGCTGGAATTTCATTGGAAAAGGGGTCGGATGAACGCCTGGATCCGACATTCCCGATCTCTGGGGGGAGGGAGGTGGGGGTGGATTTTTGGGGGGACACATCGGAGTCCGGGGAGTGACCCCCATCCACGTGGGACACCAGGGATCCCTGGGATGGGGACAGGATCCAGGAATGGCTTTGAGATTTTCATGGAATTGTTGAGGTTGGAAAAGCCCTCAGAGACCATTGAGTCCGGGGGTGGAACCCGCATTCCCGAGGGATCCAAATCCGTGGGGATGTGGCACTCGGAGATGTGGATCAGGGTGGGAATGGTTGGACTTGGAGAGCTTTTCCAGCCTCAACAATTCCATGATTCCTTGGAGAGCAGATCCAGCATCAGGCCGGCGAATCCCAACCCAACCAGCCGGGGATTTTTCGGATCATTTTCTGGATTTAAGGAGCTCTCGGCATGAGCCAGTGAGAAAATCCCGACATTCCTGGTGCTCCAGGGATGTGTCCAGGGGTTTTCCAACCTCCTGGAGCAACCTGGGATAGTGGAAGATGTGGAAGGGCGTGGAATTCAAGGACCTTTAAGGTCCCTTCCCACCCAATCCCAATCCCAGTCCCAATCCCAGTCCCAATCCCAATCCCAATCGCAGTCCCAATCCCCTCCAGCTTTCTGTTCCCTACAATTCCCAGCTCTTCCCAGGGTGTTTTCCCTTCCTGCCTCTCCAGCAGGAATTTTGAGGCCCAAAGGGCATTTTTTGGGGTTTTCAGTCCAGGTTTTGGTTGCAGCTGGGAATTTCCCAGGTGTCCAGGGACAGCCGTGTCCCGCTAAATCCCGACTTCCTACTCCCACAGCTTTCCCGGGAAGACGGGAAACCGCAGCAAACAGAAAACGCCAGGAGATTATTCCCAAATCCCTGCCGGAGCCAGGCGTGGGAGCACAGCCCGGGAGGCCCCCGCGGAGCGCCATGGAATGGGAGGACATCCCAAATCCATGGAACGGCGCTGGTGCGGGAATTGTTGGGATTCCCGTTCCTCCAGGAGATCCGGGTGCTTCCCGAGCCAGAGGACGCCCCGATCTCCCTTCCAGGGCTCTGCCCCTCATCCCGGGATCTCCAGAGCCCGCCTGCTGCTGGATTCCCGCCGGGATCCGCATCCGTACCTTTGAACCCGCGCATTCCGGCGGGGCCGCGCGGGCCGAGCTCTCCCTGGTCCCCCTTCAGTCCGCGCGGGCCGGGCAGTCCCCGCTCCCCGGGAAGCCCTGGAATGAGGATGGGGACACAAAATGAGCAGAATTCCGCAATCCCAATGTGCCTGGGAGACCCCAGAGTCCGGCCCATCCTTCTCCTGGGATCCAGGACGGATTTATCCAGGTGCTAGGGAATTCCTGAGGATCTTTAGGTGGGAGGGAGGTAAATTTGGCTCCAAAGCTGGAGTTCAAGGAAGGAAAACTAGGATCCATCCCAAGGAATTGGGATGTGTCCCCCGTGAGGCCCAGGTCTCCAGGATCCATGTTGTCCAAGGGGTTGGATGTTTGTTGGAGAAGGATTTAGGGATGGAACCCCCTGGTGTGAGCATTCCTGATGTCGGGGAGGTGGGAATTGGGCTGGAGTTTGGGAAATCCTGCACAGGGGACGCATCCGAACCTTGGAGGTCACCTCCATCCATGTAGGACCTGGACCTGGACCTGGATCTGCTTCTGGACCTGGACCTGGACCTGGACCTGGATCTGCTCCTGGACCTGGACTTGGACCTGGACATGGACCTGGACTTGGACCTGGACATGGACCTGGACCTGGACCTGGACCTGGATCAGGATCTGGTCCTGGACCTGGACTTGGACCTGGACATGGACCTGGACCTGGACCTGGATCTGCTCCTGGACCTGGATCAGGACCTGCTCCTGGACCTGGACCTGCTCCTGGACCCGGATCTAGATCTGCACCTGGACCTGGACATAGACCTGGACCTGGACCTGGACCTGGACCTGGACCTGGACCTGGACCTGGATCAGGATCTGCTCCTGGACCTGGATCTGGATCTAGATCTAGATCTACACCTGGATGTGGACCTGGACCTGGATCTGGTCCTGGACCTGGACCTGATCCTGGTCCTGGACCTGGATCTGGTCCTGATCTTGAACCTTGATCTGGACCTGAATCCAGCTGTGGATCTGGTTCTGGTCCTGAAACTGGACCTGGATTTGGGTCGGGTCTGAAATCTGGACTTTGGTCTGGACCTGGATCCAGATCCACATCTGGTCCTGGACCCCAGCTGGGACCTGGACCTGGATCCAGATCTGGCTGTGGGAAGGAGGCAGGACCCTGTGCTGGAGACAGGATCTGTGGGACCTGGGGATGATCCCACGGGATCGATCCCGAGCCTGAGCCGGGCTCGGATCCGAAGCTCCGCCAGGATCTAAGCCTGGCTCTGTCCGTGTGGAGGGAGCCCTGGATTCCCCGGGCACCGCTGCCCCCCTCTGCCGGGGCCGGGCTTTTCCAAACTTAGTCAGGATTTTCCTCCAGTTTACGAGGAAAAAAAATCCTCCAGGATGAATTCCAGCCCCAGCTCCAGCAGGGATTATCCCCAGGTCCAATCTTTCCCTGCTGTGTCCGTCCCGAGGAGGGATCAGGACCCGGATTTCTGCGGGGTGGGGGCAGGAGGGAGGATTTTTCCATGGAAAAGGGGATTTTCTGTGGAAAAGGAGATTTTCCAGGGATACACCTGAACCCGACCTTCTCAGATCCAAAGGGTGGTGCCTGCATCCCAAAAAACTCCTGGAAAAGACCTAAAAATCATGGCTCTTCCCACCACTCTTCCTGAAGGGGAACCCTCCTGGGATTGCTTTGTTTTTCTGTTCGAACAATTAAAAAAACGAGGGGAAAAAAAAAAGGAAAAGCAAGGAAAAGAGCCAATATAATTCCGAGGTTGTTACACCCAAGAAAAACAGCCACGAGTCCATCAGTGCCAGAAATTCCAGCTGGAGGGAGAAGGAACACGGGCAGCTAGAAGGGCTGGCCGAGGGAGATCGGATTTCCAGGCTGGCTCTGCCTCGCTGGGCTGGGCCTGGGAAGGAGCGATCCCAAAATCCCAGTGTTTGAGCCCAAAGCAGTCCCAGCAAGGTCCGGTGTCTCAGAATCCTTGGAGCAGAGGATTCCAGGCATGGAGCTGGAGCTGGAGCTGGAGCTGGGTCTGGATCTGGGCCCGGGTCTGGGCCCGGGTCTGGGCCTGGGTCTGGGTCTGGGTCTGGGTCTGGGTCTGGGTCTGGATCTGGGCCCGGGTCTGGGCCTGGGTCTAGGTCTGGGTCTGGGCCTGGATCTGGGTCTGGGTCTGGGTCTGGGTCTGGATCTGGGTCTGGGTCTGGGTCTGGATCTGGGTCTGGGTCTGGGTCTGGGTCTGGGCCTGGGTCTGGGTCTGGGTCTGGATCTGGGCCCGGGTCTGGGCCTGGGTCTAGGTCTGGGTCTGGGTCTGGGTCTGGGTCTGGGTCTGGATCTGGATCTGGGTCTGGGTCTGGATCTGGGTCTGGGTCTGGGTCTGGGTCTGGGCCTGGGTCTGGGTCTGGGCCTGGGTCTGGGTCTGGGTCTGGATCTGGGCCTGGCTCTGGGCCTGGCTCTGGGTCTGGGTCTGGCATCCAGGGTCCTGTGGGGTGGGTTTGGAGCAGGGGATAACAGGGACTGGTCTGGACCTGGTCCTGGACTTTGTTCTGGATATGGACCTAGACGTGGATCCAGATCCAAATCTGAATCTGGACTTGGATCAGGATCTGGACCTTCACCTGGACCTGAATCCAGACCTGGTCCTGAAACTGATCCTGATCTGGATCTGCAACTGGTCTTGAATGTGGATGTGGATCCAGATCTGAATCTGGACCTGAACCCGGTCCTGGAGCTGGTCCTGGACATTGAACTGGACACGGATCAGGATCGACTTCTGGGCCTGGACTTGGACCTGAACCAGGACTTAGACCTGGAGCTGAACCTGGACCCAGACTTTAACCTGGGTATGAGTCCAAACCTGGATGCGGATCTGGATCCACATCTGGGTCTGGGTCTGGGTCTGGATCTGGGTCTGGATCTGGACCCTGACCTGGGCCTGCTCCTGGAACTGGACCTGGATGTGAATCCAAACCTGGTCCTGGTCCCGGAGCTCCATCCTGCGGGATCCCAGCGGGATGGATCCCGTCACCTCCACGGCACAAAGTTGTCCTCGGGGGGATCCTGCCCCACCTCCACCATTCCCAGCCCTTGGGAGCAGAGCAGCATTCCCAGGTTTCCTTCAAACCAGAAACAGCTGGAGCCAAGTCTTCCTCAGGGTGGGAATGTCCTCTGGGGGCTTCCAATGAAATTCCTCCCAAAAACAATGGAATTAAGAAGGGGGGTGGGGAAAATTGGCATTGCTGACGTTGGAAAAAGAAAATTCTGGAAAAATCTCAGAGCCAAGGCCCCTCTGCCGGGTTCCCGGGATCTGCCAGAGGGATCCAGCAGCAATTCCAGCCCTGGTGCCTTGGAAGGCTCCGTTTGGGAATGGGGTGGCCAATTCCCGCTCCAGCCTGGCTGGGACACCCTGGAAATCTGGGAATGCCAGCATGGATTTCCTGGAGCCGGGTGGGCGATGACGTTTTTCCCTCCAGGATGGATGCTCCAGGATCCGGGAGAGCAGATCCATCCTCGTGTCCCTCAGGAGCTGGGACACGCCAAGGGATGGGTCAGGAATCACCGGGAGTTGTCCCGTTGGGTTTGGATCAGCCGGGTTATTTCAGGATGGGATTTGGGGGGATTTTGGGAATGTTTTCCTTACCTCGGAGCCCGGGAAGGCCGGGAAGGCCGGGCTCTCCCTCCATCCCTTCCGTGCCTCGGTCTCCTTTGGGTCCTGGTGGCCCTGGAACACAAGGGGAGGGCGGGAATCACACCCCGAAGTCGGGAATGTGCAGCAGAAGATCCGGGATCGCTGAGAAATGTGGGAACAAAGCCGGGACAAAGCCATTTTCCATGATTTTAATCTTCCAGGATTTGTGGATCCTAAATTCCAAACTGGATTCCACCAACCTGCTCCAAGTGATGGGAAAATTCACCTGGAAGCTCCACCTTGAGCGGGACTCGGGAATTTTCCTTTGGACCAAAAGCTGGGATATTCCCAGTGAAATCATTGCAAGAAATCAGGGAAAATACACATTTTGGGAATGTTCACAGAATCCTGGAATTTCGGGGGTTGGAAAGGATGTTAAGGATCATCCAGGGGCAGGGCCACTTTCCATTTGTCCAGCTGGGATGATCCTCTGGGAATTCTGGAGATGATCCTTGAGCAGAGGATTGACAGCGGGATTTTGGTAAAATCCCAGGAATTTGCAGAAAATCCCAATCCTGGGTTTTATCCCTCATCCTGCAAAGGCTCAAATCCCAAAAGCTGAAAATAATCGGGAGCCAAAACAATGGGAAGAAGGAATTTGAAGAGAAAAATAGCAGGGAAGAAAAAAAATATTCCTGGGATGAGAGAAACCAGGGCAGGGAGAGGCCGGGAAGGGTCATTCCCACCCATCCAGGGCGAGGACTGGGAAATGTTTTCCGAGAAATCCTGAAAGCCGGGAACTCGGGAAGCTGAGACCCAGGCAGAGCTCCAGGCGCTGGAAAAGGGGCAGGAAGAGCAGGGATGTGTTTCAATGGATCAGGAATGGGGATCTGGGAATGCTCTGTAGGAATCTGTGGGATTTGGAGAGGGATCCAGAGTGGGATCCTGAACCACGTCAAGGCTGAGAAACAGAGTGGGATCCAGAGCGGGATCCTGAACCACGTCAAGGCTGGGAAATGTTTTGGGATAGGAAAGGATGATGGGAAATATGGAATTACTGGCCCTGGCTGTCTCTTCCACAGGGAACGAACAGCTCCGGGGGCTGAGGGGATGGAGGGATGGACTCCAGATCCCAGGAATGGATTCTGGACCCCAGGAATGAACCCCAGACCCTTGGGATGGACCCCAGATCCTGGGAACGGACTCCAGATCCTGGAGATGGGTCCAGATCCTGGGAATGGACTCTGGATCCTGGGAATGGACCTCAGACCCCAAGGATGGATTCCGGATCCCAGGGATGGACTCTGGATCCCGGGAATGGACCCCAGACCCCAAGGATGGATTCCGGATCCCAGGGATGGACCCCAGTTCCTGGGAATGGACTCCGGATCCTGGGAATGGACCCCAGATCCCAGGGATGGACCCCAGAACCCAGGGATGGACTCTGGATTGCAAGGATGGACCCCAGATCCTTGGGATGGATCCCAGACCTTAGAATGGATCCCAAACCCTTGGGATGGACCCTGGACCTTGGGATGGGCACTTCCAGGGATGGGGCAGCCACAGATTTTCTGGAATGCTCCCAGGGACGGTCCCATGCAAGGAGCAGCTCTTGGGACAGGACACGGAGCTGCTGGGCTGGAGGAAAACCGGGAATGGCGGCTGGGAGAGGCTCCGGAGCATTCCCAGCTCCTCCCACCCCACAGCTCCCGAGGGTTGCACCCGGGAAATCCCATTCCTGCTTCCCACCCTCCAATTCCAGCGGGACGAGGCGTTTCCTGAGGGATGGGACCTTCCTGTCACCTTGGGGACCTGCTGGGATCCAGCTCATCCCACCCTGGAATCCACCAAGCGGATCCTGGGAATTCTCCCAAGACCCAAAACTCCTCTGCATTGTCCTTCCCGAGCCAGGGGAGGCGCAGGGAGAAATCCTGGGATGCTGGAGAGGAGCCTTGGGATCTTTCCAATCTGCCCCCGCCCAATTCCAGGATCCAGGATCCGGAGCTTGGGATGGATGAGGATTTGGGGAGAAGGAACAAGGCCCCCCCAGGCAGGCAGGGAATGGCTCGGCCAAATCCAGCCGGGAACAAAACGGACTCACCCAAGGACATCTGGAGCTGGGATGAATCCAGCTGGGCACGAGGCCCCAGGAATGATCCATGGGATGGGAGGGGAGGGAAGTTTGGGATGCCAGGAATGTGTCAGGGCTGATAAATCCGCTGCCGGCCCTTGGGAAGGGGTTTGTTTTGGGATAATGCGCTTCCAGGGCTCCGTGACGGGTCCCACCCTTGGTGGCTTCATCCCAGAGCAGGTGACGTCATCCCCATGGATGGGGAGGGAAAAGTGGGATCTGAGGAGTGGGGAAGTAGGGAAATAACAAAGCAGTTGGGGCGGGGTGATCCCAGCATCCCAAAAACAGGGATTGGGAGCCTACGAACTCCGGGGATGAGGGGAAGCACCCCAGGAGCTGTTGGTATTCCAGGGGGATGGATCTCCTGGGAATCAACCACGTCCATCCCCTCCGGCCCAGCAGCTGGAAAAGGGGAACAAGTGCCTTGGCACCACCCCTGGCCTTGGAATTCCAGCTGGAATTTCATCTGGAACAGCCCCGAGGTCTCCGCAGGCACAGCAGCTGGAAAACGGGACAGGAGCTGCTCCCAAAGTCCTGCTCCGGCCCGGAGCTCCCACTGGGATCTCCTGGGTTTCTCCGTGGGGCTCCCCCTCCCTGGCACAGCATTCCCAGAGCAGCTGTGGCTGCCCCTGGATCCCTGGAAGTGTCCAAGGCCAGGGCTTGGAGCAGCCTGGGACAGGGAAAGGTGTTGGAGTTGGAACGGGACGGGATTTAAGGACCCTTCCCGCCCAAATAATTCCAGGATTTGGGAAGGGCTGAGGGTGGGAAAGGAGGAAAAGATGGGATAGGCGAGGTTGGGATTTCCTGGGATCTTTGAGGGAACCTTGGGATCTTCCTTCCAAACCATGGATGGGGAATGTTTGGAGAGCCCAAGGGGGTAGAGACACCTGAGCGGGGACAGATGGGGATGGATCCGGGAACTTCCCAGCCGGAGAGACCCGGAGGGGCTGGAGCGTGTCCAGGGCAGGGAACGGAGCTGGGAAGGGAATGGAGCCCCAGGAGAGGCTGAGGGAGCTGGGAAGGGAATGGAGCCCCAGGAGAGGCTGAGGGAGCTGGGAAGGGAATGGAGCCCCAGGAGAGGCTGAGGGAGCTGGGAAGGGAATGGAGCCCCAGGAGAGGCTGAGGGAGCTGGGAAGGGGCTCAGCCTGGAGAAAAGGAGGCTCAGGGGGGACCTTTCCCCTCTCCACAACTCCATGAAGAGTTGGAGCCGTGTGGGAGTCGGGATCTTCTCCCGGGAAACAAGAAACAAGATGAGGAAACGGCCTCAGGCTGTGCCAGGGAAGGTTTCATTGGATATTGGGAACAATTCCTTCATGGAAAGGGCTGTGAAGGATTGGAACAGGCCCAGGGCGGTTTGGAGTCCCCATCCCTGGTGGGATTAAATTCCTCATGGATTTGGGGGGACACGGATCAGTGGTGGCAACCAGCTGGGCTCCATGACCTTGGAGAGCTTTTCCAACCTCAACAACTCCACTGGAGTCGTCCTCCAGCTGGAGAACCCAGGGAATCTCCAATCCCTGACGGGCTGACCCCGCACAGGAGCGCGGGGACCGCTCCCGATCCCACCACTCACCCCGGATGACGGAGATGTTCCGGAGCGCCACGGAATGCTCCCAGTCCTTCAGGCGCAGCTCCTCGGTGACGTTGTTGAGCAGGGCCAGCTCCAGCCTCAGCTGCCGCTCCATGGCCGCGTGCGCCGCCCGCATCCTCCGCCCGTCCTCGCTGGCGTTGCCCAGGAGCCCCTGCAGGTCCCGGAGCCGGGAACGCTGCAGGCGGACGTCGTAGGAGAAGCTGCGGTTCACGGAATCCACGGCCCCGCCGAGAACGGCCACCTGTGTTGTATTCCATTTTGTTTAAATGGTGTGCCCTGTCTCACCCCTCCGAAATGCACGGTACGTTCTAAGCCTGTGGTCCTGCCCTGAACCATCCTGTACCCGTCATCCCACTGGCCCAATGTGATTCCGCGCCCACTTCAATTCCCCTCTTAAGCTGTGCTGGGGGATCAGTCTGGCTCTTAGCCCTTCCTCTCTCTCAGCTTCTTCCCCTCCTCTTGCCCCTTCCCTCCCCAAGGCTCCCCCTCCCTTCCCCTTTCCCCCTTTTCCCTCAGTAGCCATGCTGTTCCCGGGGGTGGGACCCCAAATAAACCTTCATCTGATCAGAAGCCGTGTGGAGTCTCCTTGCCTGCCAACTCACAGCCTAGGGGCCCCCTCCGGGGACACCCCCGGGGTGCCCCCACCCCAAAACGCACCGCAACACACCTGCTCGCCCAGGGCCTCCAGCCGCCCGCCCAGGTGGCCCAGGAGGTGCTGGTGGTGCTCCAGGAGCAGCCGGCTGCCATTGGCCTCCACGGAGAGCCGCGACAGCTCCAGCTGGGCCGCGTCGCTCTGCCGGCCCAGCGAGTCCCGCAGCCGCGCCAGCGAGCGCTCCGCCTGGCCGGCCCGGCCCTGCAGGCCCCGCAGGAGCCCCTGCAGCCGCTGCAGCGAGCCCGACAGCAGCAGCAGCGAGCCCGAGTGGTTCTGCAGCAGGTCCTGCAGCCTCCAGACGAGCTCCGGGAGGTCGCCGCTGGGCAGCGGCTGCAGCGGCTGCAGCTGCAGCTCGCGGAGGGTCTCGTTGAGCCGCTGGACGTTGGCCAGCAGCGCCTTCAGCTCCTCGGGGGACGCCCGGGGCCGGGACGCTGCGGGGCAGGAGAGCGGTGGGAGGTCAGGAGGAGCCCTGGGGTCCTCCCGAGAACATTCCCGCTTCCTCGGGGCCTGGGGAGGGGAAATTCCCAGAATCCCGGAAGGTTCCGCCCATCAGCCCCTCCTGGAATCCAAGGCTGCGGAAGGAGGTCGGGGGCTGGAGAAGGGCTGCGGGGTCCTGGAATGGTTTGGGTGGGGAGGAAGCGTGAAGCTCATCCCGTTCCACCTGGACAGGGACAATTCCCACCATCCCAGGCTGCTCCAAGCCCATCCAGCCTTTCCTTGGATAGTCACAGGGATGCAGGGATTCTCTGGGAATTCCAGCCCAGCCGGGAATTCCTTCCCAAGATCCCACCATCCCAAGCTCCCCTTTCCCACTGGAAGCCATTCCCTGGCTCCTGGCCCTCCAGCCCTTGCCCAAATCCCAGCTCTCCTGGAGCCCCTTTGGGATCGGGAAGCGGCTCCAGGCATTCCCTGAATCCCATTTTTTTTTCCCTTGGAGCCGCATCCCAAATTATTTATCTGCTGGGACAGAATTCCAGCCTGGAGCCATCCCGGCAGTTCCAGAGAATCCCAGAGAGGTTTGGGTGGGAAGGGACCTCCAATCCCACCCCATTCCATCCCCGACTCCTCCCCCCGTCCCTCCGAGCCCTGTCCAAGCTGGAATCAGCTTCTTCCAGGCATCTTCCCGATCCCTGTTCCCGAATCCCACACTGTCTCGGAATTCCGGCTGGGATTCTCCTCCTGGCACAGGACGAGGTTGGGTTCCCTCTGCTCATCCCAGTTTGGCCCCGGCACCCCTGGGAGGGATCCGAGGGATTGGGGAGGCTCAGATCCCACGGGAAGGACGGAAAACCGCAGGGGAAAACATTCCCAGAGGAAAAACTTCGGGATATTTGGGATTTTTGTTGTTATTGACGGAACAGCCGCGAGTTCTGCCGGGGAAAGTTCAGGCCGGAATTGGGAACAATTCCCTCACGGAAAAAGGTTGCGCAGGGGTTGGGCGGGAATTCCAGACATTCCCAAAGGGCTTGGCCATCCCTGCACTCACCAAAATTTGGGAAAGGGGAGGCGGGAACCCTGGAATGTGCCGGGACGATTCCTGCAGGGATTTAAATCCGTGGAGTCGTTGGACTCCAGGGGACCCAAGGAGTTTTCCAACCTCGACGATTCCAGGATTCCATGGGAATTTTGGGAGATCAGAGTCCCAGCCGCGGGCTCTGAGGTTTTTTGGTGGATTGGGGGGGACCGGGGGTCAGGATACAGGGAATGGGAATTCCCAGGGGCCACCGAAGAGCCCGGGATCCATGTGGGAAACTCCGGCTCCAGGGAGGAAAAGATCCCGTTCCCGATGGGGATTTTAAAAATTCTTTTGGGGTTTTTTATGGGGTTTTTGGGGGTTTTGGGGGTTTTTTTGGGTATTTTTTTTTTAATTCTCTGGGGTTTCTTATGGGGTTTTGGGGTTTTTTTGGGATGTTTTGGGCGATTTTTTTGAATGCTGTGGGGGTTTTCTTATGAGTTGTTTTTGTGGGTTTTTTTGGTTTTGTGGGTTTTTTTGGGGTTTCTTTTGGGGATTTTTTTCAAATTCTTTGGGGTTTCTTATGGGTTTTGGGGGGTTTTTTTGGGATGTTTTGGGCGATTTTTTCAAATTCTTTGGGGTTTCTTATGGGTTTTGGGGGGTTTTTTTGGGATGTTTTGGGCGATTTTTTCAAATTCTTTGGGGTTTTTTATGAGGTTTTTTTTGGGTTTTTGGGTTTTTGAAGGTTTTTTTGGGGTTTCTTTTGGGGATTTTTTTCGAATTCTCTGGGGTTTTTTTGGTTTTTGGGGGTTTTTTTGGGATGTTTTGGGCGATTTCTTTGAATTCTTTGGTGTTTTTTATGAGTTGTTTTTGTGGTTTTTTTTTTCATTTTTTTGGGGTTTTTTTTGGGGTTTCTTTTGGGGATTTTTTTGTTGGTTTTTTTTTTTTTTTTTCCCCAAGTTATTTGGGTTTTTTTAATGGGTTTTGGGGTTTCTTTGCAATTTTTGGGGGGTTTTTTCTTTCCAAATTCTTTGGGTTTTTTATGGTTTTTTAATGGGCTTTTGGGGTTTTTTTGGGATTTTTTTTTCCGAACTCTTTGGGGTTTTTTTTGGGTTTTTACTGGGTTGTTTATGGTTTTTTAATGGGTTCTTTGGGATTTTTTGGGTTGTTTTTCCAAATTCTTTGGGGTTTTTAAATGGATTTTTATTGTTTTTTACAGGCTTTTTTTGCGATTTTTGGAGTTTTTTTCCCCCAAATTATTTGGGGTTTTTAAATGGGTTTTTTATGTTTTTTTTCATGGGCTTTTTTGCGATTTTTGGGGGGGGGTTTCCAAATTCTTTGGGGTTTTTTATGGTTTTTAAATGGGTTTTGGGGTTTTTTTGGTTTATTTTTTTTTCCAAATTCTTTGGGGTTTTTAAATGGGTTTTTGGGTTTTTTTGGGGGATTTTTTGGGTTTTTTTTCCAAATTCCTTGGGTTTTTTATGGTTTTTTAATGGGTTTTGGGGGTTTTTTGGGATTTTTTTTTTTTTTTGCCCAAATTATTTGGGGTTTTTAAATTGGTTTTTTGTGGGTTTTTAATGTTTTTTTTAATGGGCTTTTTTGCGATTCTTTGGGGTTTTTAATGAGTTTTTAATGGATTTTTAATGGGTTTGGGGGGGGGTTGGGGTTTTTTTTTGGGGATAATTTTGAATTCTTTGGGGATTTTAATGGGATTTTTATGGGTTTTTGGGGTTTTTTTATGGGATTTTTTTGAAGTCTTTGGGTTTTTTTATGGGTTTTTGGGGGGATTTTTTTTAATTCTTGGGGTTTTTTTATAGGTTTTCAGCTTTTTTTTTGGTTTTGGGGTTTTTCTTTTAAGAATTCTTTTGGGTGTTTAATGGGTTTTTGGGGGGATTTTTTGGAGTTTTTTGGGCTTTTTTGGGGGGGATATTTTTAGAATTATTTTTATGGGTTTTTGGGGGTTTTTCAGGATTTTTTTTTGGAATTATTTTTTAGAATTCTTTGGGGTTTTTAATGGGTTTTTGGGGTTTTTTCAGTTTTTTTAAAAATTTTTTTAGAATTCTTTGGGTTTTTTTATGGGTTTTTGGGGGGATTTTTTTAAATTCTTGGGGTTTTTTTATGGGTTTTCAGCTTTTTTTTTGTTTTTGAGGGTTTTTTTAAAAATTCTTTTGGGTTTTTTGGGGAGACTTTTTTGGAGTTCTCAGGCTTTTTTGGGGGGATATTTTTAGAATTCTTTTTATGGGTTTTTGGGGATTTTTCAGGGGTTTTTTTGGAATTATTTTTTAGAATTCTTTGGGGTTTTTAATGGGTTTTTGGGGTTTTTTCAGGTTTTTTTTTGGAATTTTTTAAAAGAATTCTTTGGGGTTTTTAATGGGTTTTTGGGTTTTTTTCAGGTTTTGTAAAATTTTTTTTAGAATTCTTTGAGGGTTTTAATGGGTTTTGGGGTGGCTTTTTTTTTTTTGTTTGTTTGCTTATTCTTCCTGCTGGATCCCAACTTCCCCTCCCCTGGACGAGCCAAAAAAACCCTCCCGGCCTGGAATTCCCTGGAATCTCCTGGAAGTGCTGGGGGCGGAGCCGGGTTTTTAATGGGTTTTTGGGTTTTTTTCAGGTTTTGTAAAATTTTTTTTAGAATTCTTTGGGGTTTTTAATGGGTTTTTGGGGATTTTTCAGGATTTTTTTTTTATTTTTTTAGAATTCTTTGAGGTTTTTAATGTGTTTTGGGGTGGCTTTTTTTTTTTTTGTTTGTTTGCTTATTCTTCCTGCTGGATCCCAACTTCCCCTCCCCTGGACGACCCAAAAAAACCCTTCCGGCCTGGAATTCCCTGGAATTTCCTGGAAGTCCTGGGGGCGGAGCCGGGCCGGCCTCACCTGCCAGGATGAAGATTCCCACCAGGATGAGGAGCACCAGGAGGTAAAGCCCCACCACGGAATATTTCAGCGCCGCCGCCGAGCCCATCCGGCCGCGGCACGCCCAGCGCCGCGTCCTCCGGCCGGGATCTGCGGGAAGCAGCGGGACACGGGTCAGCGGGGCCTTGGAATGCCGCGGGAACGGCCGGGATCCATCCCTGGAAGCGCGCCGGGGAAAGGTTGGGTGGGGTTGGAGCCACCTGGGAATAGCGGGAATGGGGCGGGATTGGAGGTCGCTTCCCACCCAAAGCGTTCCGGGATCCTCTGGAGATGCTGGGGTGGAGCCAGGCAGGAAAATCCCGTGGGATGCAGCTCCAAGGAAATCCCTGAGCGCCAGGGAATGCTTGGAGCCGCTTCCCGATCCCAAAGGGGATCCAGGAGAGCTGGGATTTGGGAAAGGGCTGGAGGGCCAGGAGCCAGGGAATGGCTTCCAGTGGGAAAGGGGAGCTTGGGATGGTGGGATCTTGGGAAGGAATTCCCGGCTGGGCTGGAATTCCCAGAGAATCCCTGGTAGTGTCCAAGGGAGGATTTGGATCACCCTGGGATGTGGGAAATGTCCCTGGGATCGTGGTATTGAAGGTCCATGGATCCCATCCCAAACCATTCCGGGATTCTGGGATCAAGGACACTCAGGATCCATCCCCAGGGATTTTTATGGAATTTTATGGGGATGGAAAAGGGAAGGGAGACCCTTCCTGGAGTCCCCAATTCCCAGTGGAGCTCCTGGATCCCAAAATTCCTTCTCCAGGAGGAATCAGGATGGGGATGGATCCAATGCCAGGCTGGGAGAGCTGGGAGTGTGCAGCTGGATCAGGGAAGGATCCAGGGAATCCTTGGAGCCTTTTCCAGAGGTGCTCCAGGAGAGCTGGGATTTGGGAAAGGGCTGGAGGGCCAGGAGCCAGGGAATGGCTTCCAGTGGGAAAGGGGAGCTTGGGATGGTGGGATCTTGGGAAGGAATTCCCGGCTGGGCTGGAATTCCCAGAGAATGCCTGGATCCCTGTGACTATCCAAGAAAAGGTTGGATGGGCTTGGAGCAACCTGGGATGGTGGGAATTGTCCCTGCCCATGGAATGGGATGAGTCTGGAGGTCTCTTCCCACCAGAAGCATTCCCTGTTGGACCCTGGCGGGAACAGCGGTTTTTTGGGAGCAGACTTTCCCGGCATTTTGGCTCTAGCTCTCTTTGCCCTTTCCCAGATCCGAGTTCTCCCAAGGAGACACCAATGGAAGAGGGAGGAAAAGCCCAGAATTCCCACCTGGAGCAGTGGGCCACTTCATCCGGGTGTTTTGTGCTCCTCAGGGATCCGAGGCTCCGACCCAGAGCCCCTCATCCCACGGGAGAGGAGAATCCCAAATCCAAACCTCCTGGATGGAGACAGCGCTGATCCACGGCCGGATCCAGCCTGGAGCATCCCTGCTGGGATTTGGGATCTCATTCCCTGCCCAGGAGCAATTCCCACTTCCATCTTGGCCATTCCGACTGGGATTTGGGATCTCATCCTACAGCAATTCCCATTTCCAGCCTGGCCATTCCTGCTGGGATTTGGGATCCTATTTCATGTGACAGCAATTCCCACTTCCACCTTGGCCATTCCCACTGGGATTCGGGATCCCATTCCTGCTGGGATTTGGGATCCCATCCCATGGCAATTCCCAGCTCCAGCCTGGCCCATTCCTGCTGGGATTTGGGATCCCATTCCTGTTGGGATTTGGGATCTCATCCCAGGGCAATTCCCAGCTCCAGCCTGGCCCATCCCTGCTGGGATTTGGGATCCCATTCCTGCTGGGATTTGGGATCTCATCCCATGGCAATTCCCATTTCCAGCCTGGCCCATCCCTGCTGGGATTCGGGATCCCATTCCTGTTGGGATTTGGGATCCCATCCCTGCTGGGATTTGGGATCTCATCCCAGGGCAATTCCCAGCTCCAGCCTGGCCATTCCTGCTGGGATTTGGGATCCCATTCCTGCTGGGATTTGGAATCCCATCCCATGGCAATTCCCAGCTCCAGCCTGGCCCATCCCTGCTGGGATTTGGGATCCCATTCCTGCTGGGATTTGGGATCTCATTCCCTGTCCAGGAGCAATTCCCACTTCCACCTCGGCCATTCCCACTGGGATTTGGGATCCCATTCCTGCTAGGATTTGGGATCACATCCCACAGCAATTCCCAGCTCCGGCGGTGGAACCCCTGGATGGGGGGATCCCGGAATTCCAGGGACCCTTTCCCCTGGTCCTTCCCGAGCTCCAGGGCTGTCCCCGCGTGTCCCTCCCGGGAAAGCAGGGATGCCTGGAAAAGCCTCCAGCCGGGAAAGGGTTACGGCGGGCGGATCCCGAAACTCAGCCCGGCTTTGGAGCTCGGGAATGATGGATCCAGGGGGAATGCGGCTCAGGTGGGATCCGGGATGCTCCAGCTGGATCCCATCCCCCGCTCCCCGCCCAGAATTCCTGGGATGGAGCCGCGGGATGAGGAGGGCGCCGATGTTTTCCTGACATTCCGCACTTCCAGGGGCTCCCGGGACAGCCCGGGAGGAGCTGGCACCGCGCCCCGATCCACCCACTCCCATTCCCGGCCCTTGGAAGCGCGGCCGGCAGCGTTTGCCCGTGGAAAGGGCCGGGATCCAAGGAAAAGCGAACATTTCCTGCCCCTGCCCAGGCTCCAGGGAGCGGGAGGAGGAAAACAACCGGGATTCGGGGATTCTGGGTCCCCGAAAGCCTGGAAAAGGTCAGGGAATGCCGTTCCCGGGCCAGCAGAAGGATTGGATCGCGCTCCCGATGGATCCTCGCTCCCCCGGCGGGAGTTTTCCAGGAATTCGGGCGGGATCCGGGTGGTCCAAACCTCGGGGGTGACTTTGCTCCTGCCCCTTCCCAAAAATCCCGCTCCAGAGACCTCTTCCCTGGGAATAGGGCTCCCCGGAGAGCCAGCCCCGCCTTGGGATGAGCCCCGAGAATTCCAGGCGGAATTCCACCAAAAGCCCAAAGCCAGGGAGGCGCCTCCAGCCTTTCCCAGGGCAAGGGATTTGCTGGGAATTCTGGGATCAGTCCTCGGGGGGCTCCGGTTCTTCCCTCCCGGCTTTTCCAGCGGTTTCCCAGTGGGAATTTCCCAGCAGGATTGGGAAGCTGGGAAGAGGCAGGAGCAGGGATTTTGGGAATGGGATCAACACTCTGGGAACTCCTGGATGGGGAATTCTCCCTCCCGATCCAAAGGTGTCCCTACCCCCACAGGTCCCCTTGGAGTCACCTCCATGAGCCCCTTGCAGCATTCCCAGGAGGAATTTATCCGGAGCTGGATGTTCCCAGCTCAGCCAGCCCCTCCCCATCGGGATGGGATCCATGGACCTTCAATCCCACAATCCCAGGCTGCTCCAAGCCCCATCCAACCTTTCCTTGGGCACTTCCAGGGATGGGAGAGCCACAGAATCCCTGGAAAACCTGGGCCAAGGCCAGGACACATGCTGGTGCTACTCCCACCATGAAATCCACCATTCCCAGGGCCGGGAATCCCGGCTGGAGCCCGGAGCTGAGTGCTGAGCTCATCCCGGGCTCCTCTGCCTGCGAGGAGCCACATCCGGAGCTCCTTCCCCAGCAATCCCGGCTCCCGCCAGCTCCGTGCGCTCCCACCATGGATCCCGGCTGGATCCCCGGATGGATCCCAAGGCAGATCCAGGGGGGATCCTGAGGTGGATCCTGGAATGAATCTGGAGGTGGATCCTGGGGTGGATCTGGGGATGGATCCAGAGGCAGATCCAGAGATGAATCTGGAGGTGGATCATGGGGCGGATCCGGAGGTGGATCTGGAGGTGGATCCTGAGGTGGATCCTGTGGGGGGATCCGGAAGTGGATCCTGTGGGGGGATCTGGAGGTGGATCATGGGGCGGATCCTGAGGTGGATCATGGGGTGGACCCTGGGGTGGATCTGGAGGTGGATCTGGAGGTGGATCCTGGGGTGGATCTGGAGGTGGATCATGGGGCAGATCCAGAGGTGGATGCAGGGATGGATCAGGAGGGGGATCCCGAGGTGGATCCAGGGGTAGAGATCGAGGTGGATCCCCAGGTGGACCCAGAGGTGGATCCTAGGTTGGATCCAGAGGTGGATCCAGAGGTGAATGCAGGGGTGGATCCACAGATGGATCCAGAGGCGGATCCAGGGGCAGATCCAGAGATGGATGCAGGGGTGGATCCACAGATGGATCCAGAGGCAGATCCAGGGGCAGAACCAGAGATGGATGCAGGGGTGGATCCAGAGGTGGATCCAGAGGTGGATCCAGGGGCAGAACCAGAGATGGATGCAGGGGTGGATCCACAGATGGATCCAGAGGCGGATCCAGAGGCAGATCCAGAGGTGGATGCAGGGGTGGATCCAGAGGTGGATCCAGAGGTGGATCCAGAGGCAGATCCAGAGGTGGATGCAGGGGTGGATCCAGAGGTGGATCTGGAGCCGGATCCAGAAGTGGATCCACAGGCAGATCCAGGGGCGGATCCAGAGGTGGATGCAGGGGTGGATCCAGAGGTGGATCTGGAGCTGGATCCAGAAGTGGATCCAGAGGCGGATGCAGGGGTGCATCCACCGGTGGATCCAGGGGTTGATGCAGGAGTGGATCCGTAGGTGGACCCGAGTGGATCCAGAGGTGGATCCCGAGTGGATCCGGAGGCGGATCCGCGCTCACCGTCCTCGCAGAGGTTCAGCTTGGAAAGGCTCCGTCCCTCCAAGGGCTCCTCCAGCACGGATCCGTTCTCCCACTCGGAGAGATCCACGGCCTTGTTCTCCATCCTGCTGGAGAAAAACGGGAATGTGCCACGGGGCTGGGGCTCGGCACATCCCAATCCCAATCCCAATCCAAATCCCAATCCCAATCCCGGCTCTGCCATTGGGATGGGGCAGGTGAGAGCCCACCTGCAGCTCCAGGATCCCAAAATCAGCGGGACACGGAGCTGGGGAGGAGAGCCTGGAGCTGCTCCAGGGCTGGAAGAGCTGGGAATGTGCAGCTGGATCAGGGAAGGATCCAGGGAATCCTTGGAGCCTTTTCCAGAGGCTCCAGGAGAGCTGGGATTTGGGCAAGGGCTGGAGGGCCAGCAGCCAGGAAATGGCTTCCAGTGGGAAAGGGGAGCTTGGGATGGTGGGACCTTGGGAAGGAATTCCCAGAGCATCCCTGGATCCCCGGCAGTGCCCAAGGCCGGCTGGACACTGGGGTTTGAGGCAGGCACAGATCCATGGATTCTGTTTTCCCTGGGATTGTTGTGCCGCTGGGGTTTTGTCACCCCCACCCCCGTTACACCAGCAGCACTCCCAGCTCGGTTCCAATTCCAAGGGGGAAAAACCATCCAGGAATTCCAGAGGGGCTCTCAAACCCCCACAGGAGCAGGGATGGGGAATGGGGGCAGGAGCGTCCTGGGGAAGCGGGATACAGAGAAACCCCCGGCGGAGATTGACCCGGGACACCGGGACAGGAACCGGGGCAGGAACCGGGGCAGGATCTGGGGTTGGGAGAACTGGGATGGGAACCAGGACAGGGGGAATCGGGACAGGAACCGGGACAGGGGATCCGGGATAGGAACCAGGACAGGGGGATCTGAGATGGGAACCGGGACAGGGGATCCGGGACAGCAACTGGGATAAGAGCTGGGATAGGAACTGGGATAGGAACCAGGATAGGAACTGGGATAAGAGCTGGGATAGGAACCGGGATAGGAACCAGGATAGGAACCAGGAGCGGGAGAACTGGGATAGGAACCGGGATAGGGACTGGGACAGGGAGAACTGAGATAGGAACGGGGATAGGAACCAGGACCGGGAGAACTGGGATAGGAACCAGGGCCACTGGGACAGGGAGAACCGGGACAGAGGAATTCGGGACAGCAGCATCCCGGGAGAACCGGGACAGGAATCCGGGACTGGAGCATTCCCTGGGAGAACCGGGACAGGAATCCGGGACAAGAGCATCCCGGGAGAACCGGGACAGGAATCCGGGACAGCAGCATCCCGGGAGAACCGGGACAGAGAAATCCGGGACAGCAGCATCCCGGGAGAACCGGGACAGGAATCCGGGACAGCAGCATCCCGGGAGAACCGGGACAGGAATCCGGGACTGGAGCATCCCCCGAGAACCGGGACAGGAATCCGGGACTGGAGCATCCCGGGAGAACCGGGACAGGAATCCGGGACAGCAGCATCCCGGGAGAACCGGGACAGCAGCAGCATCCCGGGAGAACCGGCCCGCCTCCCTCCCCGCCGCCCCCGGCGCTCGGGGCTCCCCCACCCCGCTCCCCTCCCCGCGCTCCGCGTCCCCCCCGGCCCCGCTCACCCGCGGGATTTCCCGAGCTTCCCGTGGCCTCTTCCCGGGTTTCCCTCAGTCCCCGGGCTGTGTCCCGCCGGCGCTGCCCGGTACCGGGGGCCGAGGACGGCGAGGAGCCCCCCCGGGCGGCGGCGGGGCCCGGCAGCCGCCCATGGGTGCGGGGTCCCGGGGCTGTGAGCGGGGCCCGCCCGGCCGGAGCCTTTTGGAGGCGGAGCGGGAGCGGGGCCGGGCTGCCCGCGCCCCCTCCCGCCTACCGGGGCCGCCCCGAGCCCGCCCCGGGCCCGGACAGGGGCACGGGAGCGGGGAACGGGGAACGGAGAGTCCTCCGGGAAAACGGAGATGGGAAACTCCGGGGGAACCGGGACAGGGGGACCGGGACAGGGGAACCGTGATAGAGGGACCGGGACAGGGGCAGGGGAGCAGGGAACAGGGAACGGAGAGTCCTCCGGGAAAACGGAGATGGGAAACTCCGGGGAAACCGGGATAGGGGGACCGGGACAGGGGCAGGGGAGCAGGGAACCGGGAACGGTGCGTCCTCCGGGAAAACCGAGGATGGGAAACTCCGGGGGAACTGGGACAGGGGGACCAGGACAGGGGGACCGGGAACGGTGCGTCCTCCGGGAAAACCGAGGATGGGAAACTCCGGGGGAACTGGGACAGGGGGATCGGGACAGAGGGACCGGGATAGGGGAACTGGGAGAGGGGGACCGGGATAGGGGAACCGGGACAGGAGAACCGGGACAGGGGGACCGGGACAGGGGGACCAGGAACGGAGCGTCCTTCGGGAAAAACGGGGATGGGAAACTCCGGAGGAACCGGGACTGGGGAACCGGGATAGGGGGACTGGGATAGGGGGACCAGGACAGGGGAACCGGGACAGGGGAACCGGGACAGGGGGATCGGGACAGGTGAGACCGGGACAGGGAACCCGGGACAGCAGAATCTCCAGGGAATACCGGGACAGGGGGGACCGGGACCTGGAAACCGGGAGAGGGGGAACCGGAACAGGAGAACCTCCCGGTGGGACCGGGATAGGGGAAACAGAGATGGGAGCATCTCCCGGGAAAACGAGACCGGGGGAACCGGGACAGGAGCATCTCCCGGGAAATTCGGTCATGGACAGGCGGAATCAGGGCTGGAATATTCCCGGGAAATGGAGAGAGGGAATCGGGACTGGAATATTCCCGGGAATGGAGAGAGGGAATCGGGGCTGGAATATTCCTGGGAAATTGGGAGAGGGGGAATTGGAGGGGGAATTCCCCCGAGGGAATGGAGAGAGAGGGAATCGGGGCTGGAATATTCCCGGGAAATGGAGAGAGGGAATAGGAGCTGGAATATTCCCGGGAAATGGAGAGAGGGAATAGGAGCTGGAATATTCCCAAGGGAATGGAGAGAGGGGGAATCGGGGCTGGAATATTCCCAAGGGACTGGAGAGAGGGGGAATCGGGGCTGGAATATTCCCAGGAAACTGAGGCACGGAGCGCCGGAGGGGAGGAATCCCAGGATTCCCAAACCCTTTGGCCCTGGCTCTGTGGGAGCAGGGAATGACAATCCGGGACGAAGGGAAGGGCCCGGATTTGTCTTTGAGAGAGGGCAAATCGGGGCTGGAATATTCCCAAGGGAATGGAGAGAGGGGGAATCGGGGCTGGAATATCCCTGGGAAATGGAGAGAGGGAATCGGGGCTGGAATATTCCCAAGGGAATGGAGAGAGGGGGAATCGGGGCTGGAATATTCCCAAGGGACTGGAGAGAGGGGGAATCGGGGCTGGAATATTCCCAGGAAACTGAGGCACGGAGCGCCGGAGGGGAGGAATCCCAGGATTCCCAAACCCTTTGGCCCTGGCTCTGTGGGAGCAGGGAATGACAATCCGGGACGAAGGGAAGGGCCCGGATTTGTCTTTTCCCCAGGAAAGGCCGAATTTGGGAATGTTTTCCTGGATTTCAGGAGATCCCAGCGGAATTTGGTTGCTTTTCCTCCTCCTGGGTTCCCATCCCTGGATTTGTTCCGTGGCGGCTCCGGGTTGGAATCCAGCCCTGCTCCTCTGGGTTCTGCTGGAAAAGCGGGATGAGGGAGGGGAAAAGGGATTTAAAATGATTAAAAGGGAATAAAAACTGCCGCGGAGCCGGGAGCGACTGCTGGCGTCACCGCAGCTGAAACCATTCCATGGAATTCTGGCGCTGCCGAGGTGGGAAAAGCCCTCGGGAACGAGGAACTCCAACCGCGTGGGAGCAGTGGTGGATCCGAGCGGTTTATTCGGGAATGTGGGGCGGGAAAAGACACCCAGAGCCCCAAAGCTGATCCCAAAGCTCCGGATCCCGGGCGGGAGGAGCTGGATCACACCTGGGAGCGGATCCCGAATCCTCCGGATCCCTGGAATGTGCCAGGCCGGGCTGGAGCTCGCTGGGATCGGGGAAGGATCCCAGCCCGTGGAATGGGGTTGGATTTCCTCCTTGCCACCCATGGAGACAATTCCGTGAGGAATTTCCCTGAGGAATTTCCCTTTCCGAGGTTTTCCCGGTGGTGTTTTCCCTCGGGAATCTCTCCCCGAGCTCGTTCCTGGCTCCGAGATGGAATTTTTTTTGGAAAACCTCCAGGGCAGGTGCTGCCCCGGCATTCCCAGGAACTTCCAGGTGGAATTTCCAGGTGGAATTCGCACCCTGGCTGCTGCGCCCCGGGATGTTCGGTTGGATTTTGGGAGCAATTCCCGCCTGGAAAGGTTTTCCGGGTGGAGTCCCCGTTCCTGGCGGGATTGGAATTCCTTGGATTTGGGGGAGCAGGGATCAGGGCTGGGAATGGTTGGATCCCAGGGCTTTTCCAGGCTCCGCAATTCCAGGATTTTATGGACAACGGGACTCCCCCAGCTGGCGCTGCTTTCCCAGGAACGGGAGGATCCAGGGAACAGGAATGGGGGGAAAATTCCTTGTAGGATGATCCCGGGGGGATTCTGGGATGGTTTTTGTGGGAAGAGGATTCCAGGATCTTCCAGTTTCCCTCCCATTCCGTGGGCGGGGACCCCTCCCACCATCCCAGGGTGCTCCAGCTTTGCCTTGGACACTCCCAGGGATGCTCTGGGAATTCCATCCCAGCCCCTCCCCCCCCTCCCAGCCAGGAATTCCTTCCCAAAATCCCAAATCTCCCGTTTAAACTTCCTTCCCATGATTTCCCCCCCACCATCCCCGCTCCATCCCGACATTCCAGCCTCGCCCTTTTCCCGGGATCTCAAATCCCACCCGGGCAGGGAATCCTGGAATGCCGGGACACCGGGAATGGCCCCCCCGCGGCAGCGGGCGGGGCCGGCCGGGATTTTGGGCAGGAATTCCTCCCCCGGGAGCTCCCAGGGATGCAATTCCCGAGCTCTTGGTGCCCTCTAAAGGACTGGGCTGGGAGGAGCTGCGGAGCGATCCCGGGAGCGGGAAAAATCCATGGAAAAGGCGGAAAATTCCTCCCTCGGAGTCTCGGGTTTGAGCTGGGAGCGGGTCCAGACCCAAAGGAGGATTTGGGATCGCCCATTCCAGGTGGGAACATCCCTGAAGCCGGAGAGGAACTTCGGGATCAGACCCTGCTCCGGGGGAGCCCTGAGATTCCGCCCTTCCCATTAAAGATCCCAAAGAATTCCCGGATCCATCCTGGGTTTTCCTTCATTTTCCTCCTCTTCCCTGTTTTCCCCCAAATTTTTCTTCCTTTTTTTAATTTTAATTTTCAATTTTTCCCTTTTTTTGTCCTTTTTTCTCCCCCACCTTTCCCTTCTTTTCTCCCTCTTCTCCACTTCTCCCTCTCTGTTCCCCATTTTCCTGCTTTCCCCCCCATTTTCCCCCACATTCCCTCAGTTTTCCCATTTTTCCTCATTTTTCCCTGGCACATCCGGGGGGCTTTGGCTGGACCCCAAATTGGGGGCGATTTTGGGGGGAATTACCCTGATTTTGGGGTTTCCTTTGGCATTTGTCCTCATTTTGGGGGGACTCATCCTGGTCCTTGAAATGATCCCAAATAATCGCTGGAATTCGGGAGCCGACGAAGCCGAGAGCCAAAAAATTGGATTTTATGGAATGGGAATGTGGGAGACATGGAGGGAAAAGGAAAGGAAAGGAACGGGAACGGGGCTGGGGAGGGGAAAATCCGAGGAAATGTTCGCACCCCATGGATCCTCCCTGGGCAAGGATTCCCAAAAAATCCCAGATCCCAGGGATCCACAGGTGGGAATAACCAGGTGTGTCATGGGATCAGAGGGATTCCCCAAAAAAAGATCAAATCCCATGGATTCACAGGTGGGAATGCCCAGGTGTGTCACAGGATTCCCCAAAAAAATCTCAGATCCCAGGGATTTGCAGCTGGGGATTCGGGATGGGGCAGAATTCCCAACAAAAAAAGCTCAAATCCCATGGATTCACAGGTGAGAACGTGGGATGGGGAGGAATTCCTGAAAAATCCCATGGATTCATGGGTGGGAATGCCCAGGGATTAAAAAAAAATCCCAAATCCCATGGATTCACAGCTGGAAATGCCCGAGGTGTCCCGGGATTCCCAAAAAATTCAAAATCCCATGGATTCACAGGTGGGAATGCCCAGGTGTGTCATGGGATGGGGCAGAATTCCCAAAAAATCCCAAATCCCATGGAGTCACAGCTAGGAATGCTCAGGTGTGTCACAGGATTCCCAAAAAAAAATCCCAAATCCCATGGATTCACAGCTGGGAATGCCCAGGGATTCCCAAAAGAGCCCAAATCCCATGGATTCCGAGGTGGGAATGCCCATCCCGGGATGGGGCAGGATTCCCATAAAAGCTCATGAATATGCAATAATATCTAATTGCCATAAATTATGATTTCCCAGGAAGTTTCCAAGGAAAGCCAGAGCAGCGTGAGAATTCCCGAGGGATTTGTCTCTTTCCCAGTAAAATTCACGTGGCACAAGAGATTCCCAGATTCCCGGATTCCCAGATTCCCAGATTAACAGATTCCCAGATTCCCGGATTAACAGATTCCCAGATTCATGGATTCCCAGATTTGGAAAGGAAAGGAAAGGAAAGGAAAGGAAAGGAAAGGAAAGGAAAGGAAAGGAAAGGAAAGGAAAGGAAAGGAAAGGAAAGAGGAGAAGGAGGGGAAAGGGAGGAGAGGGAGCGGAGAGGGGAGGGATGGAAGAGGAGGAGGAGGGAGGGGAAAGGGGAGAAGGAGGGGAAAGGGAGGAAGGAGGGAGGGAGAGGAGGAGGAGGGAGAGGAGGAGGAGGGAGAGGAGGAGGGAGGGAGAGAAGGAGGGAGGGAGAGGAGGAGGGAGGGAGCGGAGGAGGGAGGGAGAGAAGGAGGGAGGGAGAGGAGGAGGGAGGGAGCGGGGGAGGGAGGGAGAGAAGGAGGGAGGGAGAGGAGGAGGGAGGGAGAGGAGGAGGGAGGGAGAGAAGGAGGAGGGAGAGGAGGAGGGGCGGCCCCGCTGCTGAATAATTCAGCGCTGGCAGCGGCGGCAGCTCCGCACCGGCACCGAGCGGAGCTCCGGAGCGCCGCACCGGGACCGCCACCGGACCGGGACCAGGACCGAGGAAAGGAAAGAGGAGAAGGAGGGGAAAGGGAGGAGAGGGAGCGGAGAGGGGAGGGATGGAAGAGGAGGAGGAGGGAGGGGAAAGGGGAGAAGGAGGGGAAAGGGAGGAAGGAGGGAGGGAGAGGAGGAGGAGGGAGAGGAGGAGGAGGGAGAGGAGGAGGGAGGGAGAGAAGGAGGGAGGGAGAGGAGGAGGGAGGGAGCGGAGGAGGGAGGGAGAGAAGGAGGGAGGGAGAGGAGGAGGGAGAGGAGGAGGGAGGGAGAGGAGGAGGAGGGAGAGAAGGAGGGGCGGCCCCGCTGCTGAATAATTCAGCGCTGGCAGCGGCGGCAGCTCCGCACCGGCACCGAGCGGAGCTCCGGAGCGCCGCACCGGGACCGCCACCGGACCGGGACCAGGACCGCACCGGGACCGCGTCAGGCTCCGGACACCTCACCGGGCTCCGCACCGAGCACCGGCCCCGCATCAAACGCCGGGAGCACCTCGGGCTCCGCACCAGAACCGCATCAGGTCCCGGACGCTGCACCTCGGTCCGCGCCGGGCTCTGCACCGGGACCGCCCCGGGACCGCATCAGGCACCGGGACCACCTCGGGACCACCTCGGGCTCGCCTCCGGGACCGCCCCGGGACCGCATCAGGCACCGGGACCACCTCGGGCTCGCCTCCGGGACCACCCGGGACAGCATCAGGCACCGGGACCACCTCGGGCTCCCCTCCGGGACCACCCCGGGCTCGGCCCAGGGACCGCATCAGGCACCGGGACCACCTCGGGCTCCCCTCCGAGCCCGCCCCGGGACCAGACCGAGCTCCGCACCCAGCACCGGCACCGCACCGGGACCGCATCAGGCACCGGCACCGCACCGAGCGCACCGAACCGCCCCGGGCTCTGCTCCGAGACCGCCCCGGGACCGCCCCGGTGGCCCCGGCTCCATCCCGAGCCCCGCACGGTCCCGCCATGGCTCTGGTGCTGCAGCTCCGCTCCGTCTCCGGCCTCCGCGGCAAAGGCGACCGCATCGCCAAGGCGGCGTTCCGGGGTACCGGGGGAGGAGCGGGAGCTGGGGAGCTGGAATTGGGGGGTCGGGATTTGGGGGAGAGGGACTGGGAGGCAGGAATTGGGGGGGGCGGGGATTGGGGTGCAGGATTTGGGAGCGGGAATTGAGGGGCAGGAATTGGGAGAGAAGGATTTGGGAATCAGGCATTGAGGGGCACGAACTGGGGGGGAAGGATTTGGGAGTGGGAATTGAAGGAGAAGGATTTGGGAAGCAGGAATTGAGGGGCAGGAATTGGGGGGGAAGGATTTGGGAATCAGGAATTGAGGGGCACGAACTGGGGGGGAAGGATTTGGGAGTGGGAAGTGAGGGATAGGAATTGTGGGAGAAGGATTTGGGAAGTGGGAATTGAGGAGCAGGAATTGGGGGAGAAGGATTTGGGAAGTGGGAATTGAGGAGCAGGAATTGGGGGAGAAGGATTTGGGAAGTGGGAATTGAGGGACAGGAACTGGGGGGGAAGGATTTGGGAAGTGGGAATTGAACAGGAATTGAGGGAGAAGGATTTGGGAAGTGGGAATTGAGGGACAGGAATTGGAGGAGAAGGATTTGGGAAGGGGGAACTGAGGGGCAGGAATTGGGGAGGAAGGATTTGGGAACGGGAATTGAGGGACAGGAATTGAGGGAGAAGGATTTGGGAAGTGGGAATTGAGGAGCAGGATTGGGGGGGAAGGATTTGGGAGTGGGAATTGAAGGAGAAGGATTTGGGAAGCAGGAATTGAGGGGTACGAATTGGGGGGGAAGGATTTGGAAGTGGGAATTGAGGGACAGGAATTGGGGAAGAAGGATTTGGGAAGTGGGAATTGAGGGGCAGGAACTGGGGGGGAAGGATTTGGGAAGCGGGAATTGAACAGGAATTGAGGGAGAAGGATTTGGGAAGTGGGAATTGAGGGGCAGGAACTGGGGGGGAAGGATTTGGGAAGCGGGAATTGAACAGGAATTGAGGGAGAAGGATTTGGGAAGTGGGAATTGAGGGGCAGGAACTGGGGGGGAAGGATTTGGGAAGCGGGAATTGAACAGGAATTGAGGGAGAAGGATTTGGGAAGTGGGAATTGAGGGGCAGGAACTGGGGGGGAAGGATTTGGGAAGCGGGAATTGAACAGGAATTGAGGGAGAAGGATTTGGGAAGTGGGAATTGAGGGACAGGAATTAGGGGGCTGGAATAGGGGAGAAGGATTTGGGGAGTGGGATTTGAGGGGCAGGGTTTGGGGTGCAGGGTTTGAGGGAAAGAATTGGTGGGGCAGGATTTGGGAAGCAAAAATTGAGGGAAAGGAATTGGGGGAGAGTGATTGGGGATCGGGATTTTGAGGGCAGGGTTTGGAGGTACAGGATTTCGGGGAGCGGGAATTGGGGACAGGATTTGGGGGACAGGAATTGGGGGAGTGGATTGGGGAAGAAGGATTTGGGGAGTGGGATTTGAGGGGCAGGAATTGGGGACAGGATTTTGGGGGCAGGAATTGGGGAGACAGATTTGAGGGAAAGGATTTGGAGGATCAGGATTTGGGGAGTGGGATTTGGGGGGAGGGTGGATTTTGAGGGCAGGATTTTGGGGATGAGAATAAGATTTTGGGGACAGGGTTTGATGGACAGGATTGGTGGAGCAGGAATTGGGAAGCGGTAACTGGGGGAAAGGATTTGGGGGACAGGAATTGGGGAAGCAGGATTTGGGGAGTGGGATTTGAGGGGCAGGTTTTGGGGGAAAGGATTTTGGGGGCAGGAATTGGGGAGACGGATTTGAGGGAAAGGATTTGGAGGATCAGGATTTGGGGAGGGGGATTTGAGGGGCAGGGTTTGGGGGACAGGATTTTGGGGGCAGGAATTGGGGAGACGGATTTGAGGGAAAGGATTTGGAGGATCAGGATTTGGGGAGGGGGATTTGAGGGGCAGGGTTTGGGGGACAGGATTTTGGGGGCAGGAATTGGGGAGACGGATTTGAGGGAAAGGATTTGGAGGATCAGGATTTGGGGAGGGGGATTTGAGGGGCAGGGTTTGGGGGACAGGATTTTGGGGGCAGGAATTGGGGAGACGGATTTGAGGGAAAGGATTTGGAGGATCAGGATTTGGGGAGGGGGATTTGAGGGGCAGGGTTTGGGGGACAGGATTTTGGGGGCAGGAATTGGGGAGACGGATTTGAGGGAAAGGATTTGGAGGATCAGGATTTGGGGAGGGGGATTTGAGGGGCAGGGTTTGGGGGACAGGCTTTTGGGGAGGCAGGATTTGTGGTGCAGGAATTCAGAGAAAGATTTGAGGGAAAGGATTTGGAGGATCAGGATTTGGGGAGTGGGATTTGGGGATTGGATTTTGGGGACAGGGATTTGAGGGGCAGGATTTTGGGGAGTGGGATTTGAGGGGCAGGGTTTGAGGGGGAGGATTTTGGGGAGGCAGGATTTGTGGTGCAGGAATTTGGGAGAAGGATTTGGGGGACAGAATTTGGAGGTTCAGGATTTGCGGTGAGGGAAGGGATTTGGGGGAGCGGGGTTGGGGGGCTGGATTTTGGGGACAGGATTTTGGGGACAGGGTTTGGGGGACAGGATTTTGGGGAGGCAGGATTTGTGGTGCAGGAATTTGGGAGAAGGATTTGAGGGAAAAGATTTGGAGGTTCAGGATTTGGTGAGGAGGATTTGGGGGTAGATTTTGGGGACAGGGATTTGAGGGGCAGGATTTTGGGGAGTGGGATTTGGGGACAGGATTTGGGGAAAAGATTTGGAGGTTCAGGATTTGCGGGGAGGAGGATTTGGGGGTCGATTTTGGGGACAGGGATTTGAGGGGCAGGGTTTGAGGGGGAGGATTTTGGGGAGGCAGGATTTGGGGTGCAGGATTTGGGGAGAAGGATTTGAGGGAAAAGATTTGTAGATCAGGATTTGGGGGAGTGGGATTTGGGGACAGGATTTGGGGTAAAGATTTGGAGGGGCAGGATTTGGGGTCAGGATTTAGGGACAAGATTTGGGGGTGGAATTTGCGGGACAGGATTTGGGGACTCCCTGCATCCATCCCTGCCTCAGTTTCCCCAAACCGGCTCTTTTTGGGATCCCCTCCCCTCGGGTTTATCCGGGGAAAAGGGGGGTGAATTCCAGGGTGAAATTCCCTCCGGGAGCAGGGATCGTGTCCCAGCTGGAATCCGGCTGTGGGATCGAGGGTTTGTAGGATCGAGGCTCCCAAGGAATTCCCAAAGGAATCCTCGCCTCATTCCGGGATCCGGGATCAGCCTGGATTTTTCCCGAGGATCCCACAGCTTCCCATTCCCGCGGGATCCGCAGCAGCTTCAAAGATTTCCTTGGGAAGGAGGAAAAATTCCCCAGGAGCTGTGGAAGTTCCGGAGCTTTTTCCAAGATTTAGGAAAGGCTCGGGATGGGATCCCAGCTCTTCCAGAGGCCGGGAATGCAAGGAGGGAGAGTGGGATGGGGGCGGGAACAGCGATCCCAGCTCAGCAGGGGAATTCCAGGAATTCCATCAGTGAGAAAAAGGCGGGAACAACGATCCCAGCTCAGCAGGGGAATTCCAGGAATTCCACGGCCAGCCTGGATCAGCTTTCCCTGCTCTTAATGAGCTCGGGATCATTAACCAGGGATAATTAAACCTCAGCTCCCTGTCGTGCTTCCAGCACCAAGAAAATCCCTGGGTACAGGCAGAATTCCCAGAAAAATCCACTGTGGAGTCCTGGGAGATCCCAAATTTCCAGTTCTGGACATACCCACTGCTGAATTCCCAGTGGGACTTTGGGAATGTCGGGATCCATCCCTGCTTTGGGTCCGGACTGGAAAACAGGGAATGGCTTCCAGTGGGAAAGGGGAGCTTGGGATGGTGGGACCTTGGGAAGGAATTCCTGGCTGGGCTGGAATTCCCAGAGAATCCCTGCATCCCTGGCAGTGTCCCAGGAAAGGCTGGAGAGTTCCAGGATCATGGGATTGGAATGGGATGGGATTGAAGGTACCTTCCTACCCAACCCATTCTGGGATGGAATTCCAAGGAAGGAATTTCCAGGACGGTTGGGTCAGGGTCCTGAGGTGTTTTCCTGGTCTTTTTCTTCCATGAATTCCCATGGAAAAGGAGATTTAGGGTCACGCTGGGATGCAGCCAATCCCTGATGCTTCCAGGTGGGAATTCCTATTCCCAGGCTCATCCAGGCCCTGGCCAGGAAAATCCAGCTGCTGAAAGGGGCTGGAAGCAGCTCGGGAAGAAATTCCAGGAGTGGTTGGATGGGGAAGCGGATTCGGGTGGATCCATCCCTTGGATGTGCCTGGAGAGAGATTTGGGCTCATTCCCTCCAAAATTCAGCAAATCTTGGATCCGCAGGGAAAACCTTTGGCTCCAAAGGTTCTCAGCGGCTTTCCCAAATTCCTGAGTGGGATTTGGGCTCATTCCCTGCTCCGAAGTTGCAGCAAACCTCGGATCCGCAGGGATAAAAATTCCCCTCTAGAGGATCTCGGCGTCTTTCCCAAATTCCTTGTATCCAATGGGAAACGGAGGGAGCAGCTCCGTGCGGACAGGGAATTCCTGGAATGATCACCAGGAACCTCCTGGACGCGCAACCGGAATGTTTTGGGATGTGGGAGAGCTCTGGGACTGGAATCCAAGCTGGAATCTGGGCTGGAATATTCCATGGGACGCGGGAGGTGGCTCAGGATGAGGGGATGGGAAAAATCCGTAAGGATAAATTAGAGGGATGATCCTTCGGGATCTTCCTGGCGTGCCGTGGGTTCCAGAACAGAAAAACAGGAGTTTTCCATGATCTTGGAATCATGGAATTATTTGGGATGAAAGGGATCCTAAAGCTCATCCCAATCCACCCCCCGGAGAACTCCTCCCTCGTTCTGTTTTCCCGGGAATGCTCCTCTGCCCCCTCGCTCCACGAAAATTTGGAACGCTTCCTGGGAAGTGTCCTGCTGGCTCCTGGTCCTTTCCCAGCGATTCCTTAAATCCTTGATGGAATTTTGGCTCTTGGATTGAGCCCCACCCTGGCGCCCACGAGAATCATTCCTTGGGAATAATTCCTGCCCAGATCAGTGGGATCCCCATTCCTGGAGGGATTGAAATTCCTGTGGATGTGGCACTTGGGGACACGGAGCAGGGAATGCCGGACTCAGTCCGAGAGGGGTTTTCCAATGGAAATAATTCCATTTTTCCACGGTTCCTTCCCTCATCCTGTCCCGCCCTTGGGTGGGATAGGATGGATTCCAGGCACGCTGACCTGGAATTCCAGGCCTGGAATGTGTCTGGTTGGAGCTCGGCCCCAAAATCCGTCAGGAAAAACTTTTCCAGCGCCTCTGGGAAAGCTTTGGACCCTTGAGCATGGAATGAGGAGCCCTCTCCCAGCTCCCAGCGGGATATTCCTCATTCCTCTGGTTTTCCTGGATCCCTGAGCCTGGCACAGGATTTCCTGCCCCATCCCGAGGGATCCTGGGTGGGAGAGGAAGGTGAGAAATCCGGGATAAAGCATTCCCGAGGCTGGCGTGGGAAGTGACGCTGCTCCTCCTCTCCTGGGAATCCCGGGAGTGGCAGCGTTTTCCAAACGGGGGAAACTGAGGCACGGATGGAATTCCAGATCCATGGGAGCAGCCAGGGAGGGTGGACGGTGGATCCTGCTCTGGAAGTGGAGGGAAAAGATGGATTCCATGGCCAAAATCCGCTCCCAAAATCCTGGAATATCAGGGATTCCTCTCCATCCGCAGCTTTGCAGTTGGCTCCCACATTCCCAAGGGATCCTGTGAGGATCCAGAGCTTTGAGCTTGGCCTTTAGGATTCTCCCAGTTTTCCATCAGGGATTTGGGAATGGGATTGAATCCTGGCAGCTCCAAAGGGCTCCCAGATCCATCTGCACATGGAAAAAAACAGGGATGACTCCAGGATTTTCCAGCTTTTCTGCCTGGCTTTGGGGAACAGGCAGGAAAAAGGAATTTTCACCACCTGGCCCTTTTTTTGGGAAGTTCCAGCAAGGATCTGAGTTCTACTCCAGAGTCGCTTTCCCATGAGAATTCCCACTTCATCCTGGCTTAATTGCGTTTGTGTCCGGGGCTAATTATTGAGCCGGGAGTTAATGGATCACAAAGAGCTGCCAGGAGAGGATTCCTCTTGGGAATGGGGCTGGGAAATGAGGGATATCACTCACAGATACCCCCCCGGAGAACCGGTGGATAATGATTCCGGTCAGGAAAAATCGGGATGCTCCTGGTTGGGAAGGGTTGGAGCAGGGAGGCTCCGCAGGATCAAGGGGTCTCTCCCAGGAGGTGGAATTCCATGGAGTTTTTCCATCTGGCTGTTCCCAGATCCCAAAATCCCAGGGTATCCCAGGGTATCCCAGCCCTTTATCCACCTGTTTTCCCTCTTTTTTCCTTTCCAGGACTTTCATTCTACACCCGAGTGCTGGAAAACTGCGAGGACGAGGCCAAGTTTGACGAGGTAGGAGTTTTCCATCCTTTTCATCCCATAAATCCCACTTGCTCTCTTTCCAGGACTTTCATTCTACACCCGAGTGCTGGAAAACTGCGAGGACGAGGCCAAGTTTGACGAGGTAGGAGAAGTTTTCCATCCTTTTTATCCCATAAATCCCACTTGCTCTTCCAGGATTCCCTGTCCGAGTGAACACCCAGGATTCCCAGTCCCGGGGAAATCCCTGTTCCCAAATTTTTCTTGGCATCTTCGGTGTCTGCTCCAAGGTTTCTCCTGGCAGGGCCCAAACGGGATTCCTGGCTGGACACAGGTGGGAAAATCCCTATGGAATTTTCCAAGGAGGGGGGATAAATTCAAACCATACAATTTTCCGTGTTTTCTGCACTGAATTTTAGGAAAAATTGTTCGTCCAAGCTGGGAAAATCCCGCTGGGATTTTGGCTCCATTTCCCTTTGTCTCGGAGGAAAAAATTGGGATTTTTCCACCCTGAAATTCCTTCTTTTTCCTTCAGACACGGAATTCCCAGAGCAGCCCCTGGATCCCTGGAATTTTCCAAGGAAAAGCCTTGGAGCACACTGGGATAGGGAAATTTCCCTGCCCATGGAACGGGATGGGATTTAAGTTCCGTTTCCACCCAAACCATCCCATGAACACTTCCAGGGCTGGAACATCCCAAATTTTGGGGAATTTTTCCCCCTCCAAGCCCCATCCAACTCCATCTCCCACCAGCCCCTCCGTTGCTCCCTGTGGGATTTTTTTTCCCCCCCATTCACCATGTGCCATTGGAAAACTGTACTTGGGAATGGTTGGGATCGTGTTTGGATCAGGAGCTGTGTCCAGCCTGGAATTCCAGAACTTTCAGGGAAGTGAATTCCTCCTGGAGCAGCCACAGGCTCTGCCAATGCCATGGGGACATTCCTGGACCAAATCCTTCCTGCCGAGGGAATATCCAGGGAATCTCCACTCCAACTCCATCTCCCACCAGCCCCTCCATTGCTCCCTGTGGGATTTTTTTCCCCCCCCCATTCACCACGTTGGAAAACTGTACTTGGGAATGGTTGGGATCGTGTTTGGATCAGGAGCTGTGTCCAGCCTGGAATTCCAGAACTTTCAGGGAAGTGAATTCCTCCTGGAGCAGCCACAGGCTCTGCCAATGCCATGGGGACATTCCTGGACCAAATCCTTCCTGCCGAGGGAATATCCAGGGAATCTCCACCCTCTTGCTGGCACAGGGAATTCCTGGGAATATTTGGAGCTCAAACCACTTGGATTATCCATGGCAGATCCCAAATCTTGGAGCAGGATGGGGGGATCCAGTTTTGTTTCCCAGGAACAGGGACAGGACAAGGGGAAACAGCCTCAGGCTGTGCCGGGGAATTTGAGGTCGGATTTTGGGAATAATTCCTCATGGAAAGGGCGGCCAGGCCTTAGGAGGGGCTGCCCAGGGAAGTTTGGAGTCCCCATCCCTGGAGGTTTCCAAGGAATTCCTGGATGTGTCACTCCAGGAATTGTCCTATTCCCACATCTTGGATTCCACGATCCCAGAGGGTTTTTCCCACCTCGATAATCCCTGGATTCTGTGATCGCAGAGCTGAGAAAATCCGCGTTAATTCCCTCTTTTCCTGCCCCCTCTTCCCGTGAATCGGGATCCGCCCCCAGGCAGGATTTGGATTTCAAACCCCGGCGGTTTCCATTTGTTCGGTTCCGCTCCGTTTCTTTTCCAATTATCTTTTCCCTTCATTCCTTAAAGAATTCTGCAAACCCTCTGCTGCTCCAGACCCTGGAATATTCCAGAGGCTGCGCGCAGCTCCCCAGTCAATCAGGAATGTTTGCGTTCCGTGCTGCATCCCGAGGGATTTCATCTTGGAAAGGCTTTTCCTGCAGATCCCCTGGGAGGGAAGGGAATCTCTAATCTCCGGGAATGAGGGAGCCCAAATCCCTGGCAGCTGAAGTTTCCTGGGATAATTTCAAACAGGCCCTGAGGCGGGAGTTGCTTCCACCAATTCCAGGAAACACAAACCGTGGAATTTTGGGTGGGAAGAGACCTTAAAACTCACCCCATTCCAGGGCCAGGGACACCTTTCCTGATCCCAGGGTATTCCAAGCCCTGTCCAGCCTGACCTTGGACACTTGCAGAAATCCAGGGGCAGGCACAGCCTCTCCAGGAATTCTGTGCCAGAGCCTTCCTAGTTTTCCGTTAGGTTTTTTTTTTTTTTTCCCCAGCACTTGGAAAACCCCTTGGATCAAGCTGTGGCTCCAGCCATGGCTTTTCCAGACTTATTTTCCCCTTTTTCCTTTGGCAAACACCATCCCAGCATTTAGTGACTCCCTGGATGTCGCCACCCACAATTCCTGCCACTTTCTCTGCCTTTCCTTGGATTTGGGGTGGATTTCCTGGGATTTGGTGAATCCCAAAGAGCATCCAGCACCTTTTGGATGGAGGTCGGACAGGGACAAGGGAACCTGGCTGGGAAAATTCCCATTTTTATGGGAAAATCCTCTGGGAAAAGGAGCCGAGGGCTGCTGGTGGAGAGCCCTGAAAAGTGAGAATAGGGAAATTCCTCAGGCCAGAGGGGCATTCCTGCAGAATTCCTTCCTGGAAAGGGCTGTCCAGTGGTGGAATTCCCAGAGGGATTTCAATCCAATGGATGTGGGGAGATGGACCAAGGTCAGCCCCGGCAGCGCTGGGAATTCTTGGATTTGGTGGCCTCCAAGGATTTTTCCAATTCCTTAATTCCATAACCTTGGGATTGACGGGTGATTTGATCACCGGATCCAATCCCTGGATCATCAAAACATTGGGAAAAAACCAAGGAGAAAGCAGGGGAGGGATTAAATTCCATCCCCACATGGAGAGCTCGGGATAAATCCTGCCGCAGGATCCGGAGCGGTGCCGGATCCATTGGCGCCGTTTCCCATTTCCCTTTATATTCCAGTAATTTTTCCTTTGCTTCCTTGACTTGCAGCCCAATTAAAACCGGGAATAAATAGCTCAGGAAGTGCTGAAGAGGCACCGGTTCCTCCCTTGGGATTTGCTGGATGAGCAAATTCTCTTCCCGTGGTTTTCAATCCCGCTCTGCTGCTCCTGGGAGGGATCCTGGATCCCGGATCTGCTGCCTCTGGAACATTCCCGACCCGGGGTGCTCCAGGAGTGGCTTGGGAAAGGGGGATTTAGGGTGTCCTGGGGCTTGGAAAACCGGGAATCCAGGGGGTTGGGCTGACAGAGGAATTTGCCTTGGGAAGCAAAAAAAATAATAGGAAAGGAATTGTATTTTATGGAATCATGGAAAGGTTTGGGAGGGGAGGGAAATTAAGGATCATCCAGTTCCAACTGTGACACCTCCCGCCATCCCAGGGTGCTCCAACCTTTCCTTGGACACTGCCGGGGATCCAGGGATTCTCTGGGAATTCCAGCCTAGCCGGGAATTCTTTTCCCTTTATATTCCAGTAATTTTTCCTTTGCTTCCTTGACTTGCAGCCCAATTAAAACCGGGAATAAATAGCTCAGGAAGTGCTGAAGAGGCACCGGTTCCTCCCTTGGGATTTGCTGGATGAGCAAATTCTCTTCCCGTGGTTTTCAATCCCGCTCTGCTGCTCCTGGGAGGGATCCTGGATCCCGGATCTGCTGCCTCTGGAACATTCCCGACCCGGGGTGCTCCAGGAGTGGCTTGGGAAAGGGGGATTTAGGGTGTCCTGGGGCTTGGAAAACCGGGAATCCAGGGGGTTGGGCTGACAGAGGAATTTGCCTTGGGAAGCAAAAAAAATAATAGGAAAGGAATCGTATTTTATGGAATCATGGAAAGGTTTGGGAGGGGAGGGAAATTAAGGATCATCCAGTTCCAACTGTGACACCTCCCGCCATCCCAGGGTGCTCCAACCTTTCCTTGGACACTGCCAGGGATCCAGGCATTCTCTGGGAATTCCAGCCTAGATGGGAATTCCTTCCCAAGATCTCACAATCCCAAGCTCCCCTTTCCCACTGGAAGCCATTCCCTGGCTCCTGGCCCTCCAGCCCTTTCCTAAATCCCAGCTCTCCTGGAGCCTCTGGAAAAGGCTCCAAGGATTCCCTGGATCCTTCCCTGATCCAGCTGCACATTCCCAGATCCCCCAGACTGGCTCCATATTCCCATCTGATCCAATGTCTGTATTCCTATTTTCCACTTGTGTATCCATGGAATAGTTGGCCCTGGGCACATCCTTATTGGCATCCCTGTAAAACAGCCCTGCCATGTTTTTCCCGGGAAAAGCTGCCTTTTTCCTGGGAAAAGAGGCCTTTTTCCACCCCCTCCACTGCCGATCTCTGGAGCACTCCTGGCTCATCCCTCTCCTCCTTTTCCCAACCAATTTTTGCTTGTCCATCTCTTCTTTTTTCCCAAAATCCTCTTGCCTCATCCATCTCTTCCTTTCCCCAACTGATCCTGGCTCATCCCTCTCCTCCTTTTCCCAAAAAACTCCTGGATCATCCTTGTCCTTCTTTTCCTGAACTCTCCTGCTTCCTCTCTCACCTTTTCCCGAACAATCCTGGCTCTTGCCTCTTCTTTTCCCAACTAATCCTGCCTGGCTCGTCCATCTCCTCCTTTTCCCAAAACTCTCCTGGCTCTTTCCTCCCCTTTTCCCAAAACAATCCTGGCTCATCTCTCTCCTCCTTTTCCCAACCAATCCTGGCTCATCCCTCTCCTCCTTTCCCCAAAACCTTCCTGGCTCTTCCCTCTACTTTTCCCAACCAATCCTGGCTCATCCCTCTCCTCCTCTTCCCAGCTGATCCTGGCTTATCCCTCTCTTCCTTTTCCTACAACAATCCTGGCTCATCCAGCTCCTCCTTTTCCCAACCAATCTTGCTCATTCCTCTCCTCCTTTTCCAAAAATCCTCTTGGCTCTTCCCTCCCCTTTTTCCAAAATGCTTCCACTCATCCCTCTCCTCCTTTTCCCAACTAATCTTTGCTCATCCATCTCTTCCTTTTCCCAAACCTCTCCTGGCTCATCCTTCTCCTCCTTTTCCCAACCAAGCTTTGCTCATCCATCTCTTCCTTTTCCCAAAACGCTCCCGGCTCATCCCTCTCCTCCTTTTCCCAGACTTTCCGCTGGCCGGTGGCGACCAACATCGATGGGAATGAGATCCTGGAGATCCAGGTGTTCAACTACAGCAAAGTCTTCACCAACAGGTGAGTCCCTCCTTCCCATGGCCCACAGTTTCCTGGGAATTTCCGGTGCCGTGTGAGCAGATCAGGGGGTGAGGAATCCACCCCAGGAATTCCGTGGTGCTCAGCTCGGAGTTTTCCCCAAGTTGTGCCAGTTGTTTCCATAAAATTTCCATGTTTTGAAGGAAATTGGAATTTTTTTTGGTGGATTATCCGGGTGGAAGTTGGTGCCGGTTTTCTGGGATTTTCCAATTCCTGCGGGTGTTGCATTGATTGTGTCCAGGGAAATTCCACCCCTGGAAGTGTCCAAAGAAAGGTTGGATGAGGCTTGGAGCCATCAGGGATAGTGGGAAGTGTTGGGCTTGGAATGGGATGGGATTTAAGGTCCCTTCCCACATGGATCCAAAAGGACAGCTGGAAAAGGGAAGGATCCAGGGAATGCTTGGAGCCACTTCCTGAGCCCAAAGGGGCTCCAGGAGAGCTGGAATTTGGGAAAGGGCTGGAGGGGCCAGGAGCCAGGGAATGGCTTCCAGTGGGAAAGGGGAACTTGGGATGGTGGGGTTTGGGAAGGAATTCCTAGAGAATCCCTGGATCCCTGGCAATGTCCAAGGGAGAATTTGGATCACCCTGGGATCATGGGAAGCGTCCCTGGAATGGGATTGAAGGTCCATGGATCCCATCTCAAACCATTCCAGGATTCTGGGATCAAGGACATTCAGGATCCATCCCCAGGGATTTTGAAGGAGAAGGGAAGGGAGACACTTCCTGGAGTCCCAAATTCCCAGTGAAACCCCTGAATCCTGAAATTCGTACTCAAGGAAGAATCAGGATGGAGATGGATCCAATGCCGGGCTGGGGGAGCTGGGAATGTGCAGCTGGATCAGGGAAGGATCCAGGGAATCCTTGGAGCCTTTTCCAGAGGCTCCAGGAGAGCTGGGATTTGGGCAAGGGCTGGGGGAGCCAGGAGCCAGGGAATGGCTTCCAGTGGGAAAGGGGAGCTTGGGATGGTGGGATCTTGGGAAGGAATTCCCGGCTGGGAGGGTGAGGAGGAGAAGAGAGGGGCTGGTCCTGAGAACATCCCTCCAGGAACGCTGGGAATATATGGAATAGGAATTCCCATTAAAATGAGGCAGTGCTGGAACTGCAGCAAATCCTCCTTTTCCAGGGATAAGTTGGAGAAGAAGGAGACTGGAGAGGAGGGAGAGAGTTGGGAACATCCCTTCAGGAATGCTGGGAATATTTGGAATAGGAAATCCCACTAAACTGAGCAAGTGTCAGAACCCCAGCCCGTTTTCCTTATTTGGGAATAAGTTGGATGAGGTCATGATATTTTTGGGAACATCCCTCCAGGAATGCAAGGAATAAATGGGAAAAGAAATTCCATTAAAACAGGGCAGTGCTGGAGCTCCGGCCTGTCCTCTGAATCAGCTGAAGGAGGGGAGGGAGAATTTTGGGAACATCCCTCCGGGAATGCCAGTAACAATGAGGGAAAAGAATTCCCGTGGTCTGTAATTCCAGCCCATCCTCCTTGTGCAGAAATGAGTTGGAAGAGGGAGGAGGGAAAGGATCTGGGACATCCCTCCAGGAAGGCAGGGAATGTCAGGAAAGGGAATTCCCATAAAACCGAGGCAGAGCTGGAGCTCCAGCCCATGCTCCAAATCCCCTGGAGGAGGAGGAGGAGGAGAGGAGGGAGAAGCTTGGGAAAGCTGATCCGGGCGCTCCGTGAATAATTCATGAGCAGCTGATGAATGCCATTGATCAAAGGCCTGGAAAAAGGCGGGATACCTGATCCAGGACCTGATCCAGACCCTCCGGAATGACCAGGGAGTCACATCCCGGCTGCTCCCTTTGTTCCCTTGTCCCTGTGGCTGTCACCAGCAGCCAGTTCCTGGGAATATGATCCCTGTTTGGCCTCATCCAGGTGCCTCTGGATCCTGGTGGGTTCATCCCAGCTACGGAGGCTCCCCGGGAGCGTTCCCAGGGTGTTGAGTATCCAAGTTAAAGGGATGAGGGAGAAGCCTCCTAACCCCCGCAGACAGGCCATGGCATCCCAAAAATCCAGTCCCCAGCTCCTGGATTGGGAATTTCCGGTCTGGGAATCTCTCCAGGACATATCCAAAGCATCCAGGAGCCACATCCTGCCCTTGGGTCATTCCCAGGTGGAAATTCCTACTGGAAAAGCTCCACAAGAGGGAAGGATCAAAAGCTGTGGGGTCTCCACGTCTTGAATAAAACTCCCATGGAACGGAATAATCCATCCAATCCCATCCTGGAATATCCTGGTGTGAAGAGGGATGACCTGGGTGGGAATACCGGGATCCTGCTGGAATTCAGGTGTTTTCCGTGGTGTCCTGGTCCCCTGGGAGACCTTCAGAGCCCCTTCAAAATCCCTGGGATGTTCTCCCACGGTTCCGTGCCCTGGAAGAGGTTGGATGGAGGAAATTCGAGATCCCAAATTTTTTGGGGATTTGAGCAGGAAAAGCCACCACGGGACACTCCTGAGGGATGTGGGAATGGGAATCACACCCAGGAGAGGGGAAGATCCAGGGGAAAAAAAGCAGAGGCACACCCAGGGATGAATCCAAGAGGCAGCCATGATCCAGCGGCTATGGAGCATCATCCCTGTCGTCCCATTCCCAAACTTTTGGGACAGCCCAGCCCAGCCTTTCCAAGCAGGTTTTCCTTGGGCAGAAAACAGGGATAACACTGGGCAGAGATCCCAATCCTTAAGGAATGTGCACAAAACCCAACAGCTTTTGCTCCAGGGGGTTCTGCCTCCTCCTTGTCCCGGTTTTCCTCCGGAACTGGCCAAAGGCCTAGAGCCACATTCCAAACCCGGAGCAGAGATAATTTTCCTATGGAAAAATGATCCCACGGAGAAGAGGCGGGAGCTGCTCTGTTACCTGACAGGGACACAAAGATCTGGATTTCAAAGGGTTAAATCCTTCCCTGGAGTCTCCGGGATGGAAACGGAGCTTGGTCTCGGTCTTTGTTCTTCTCCGGCCATGGAGATCCTGGCATGGCTCCAGTCCTTTGTGTCTCCAGAGGAATCCTTGTTTCATCCGTGGAAAATTATCCGCGAAAAATTATCTGGAAAAATAATCCACATAAAATTATCCAGAAAATAATCCATGGAAAATTATCTGGAAAAATAATCCACATGAAATTATCTGGAAAATCGTCTGCAGAAAATGATCCGGAAAATTCATCTGCAGAAAATTATCTGGAAAAACCATCTGTGGAAAATTTTCTGGAAAAAATAATCCATGGAAAATTATCCAGGAAAATAATCTGCAGAAAATTTTCTGGAAAGTCATCTGCAGAAAATTATTTGGAAAATCATCCATGGGAAATTATCTGCAAAATCATCTGTGGAAAATTACCTTCTGCTGGAGCAGGACAAGGAAAAAAATTAACTCTGGATCTGGAGGGTTCCTTGTTGTCCGACTGCCCTCCCCACATGGAGCAGTTACGTGGGATTTTTGGGATGGAATTCCTGGCTGTGATGGAATTCCCAGGGAAGCTGCGGCTGCCCCATTCCTGGAAGTGCCCAAAAAATAATGTTGGATGGGGCTTGGAGCAATGCGGGATTGTAGAAGGTCAGGGTTGGAGTGGGATCAGCTTTCAGGTCCTTCCCACCCAAACCATTCCAGGATTCCGTGCTGGAATTCTCCGTGCCCAATCCCTGCCTGCAGCCCCTCGGGTGTGATCCTTTCAGCTCCGGCCATGTTAGATTTTGTGGAATTTTTAATTTCCGGATCCAAACACGGAGTGCAAGCCTCAGCACACCCAAACTGCCACTCCAGAAATCTCATCCCGAATTAAATTCCCTGTCAGGATGTTTCCAAACCCAGGGCTGACTTCACTCATTATCCACTCACCTTCCAAAGAAAAAATAATTTCTATTTATTGGGAATTTTTGCAAAAGTTTCCTGAAGAAAAAGGGGGAAGAAACTTGACTGGAGCAACTTTTAGTACCTGGAAGCTGCTGAGCTGGAGTGTCCCACATTTCTCCAGGTATTCCTGGGGAAAACGAACCCGGAGTAATTACGGGATCCTGCAAATGGTGGGAAGGGGATAATTAGGAGGGAAGTGATTTTGGAAGCTCTAATTCCACAGCAAGAGAATTCCAGATGAAACTGCAATTTGGCTGGAGAAGGAAAAAAGGCTCCAGAGAAAGCTCCAGGCAGGAGTTGCAAGAGGAAGGAGCTGGAATTAATCAGGATTGCCCAAGAAGGGATTTGGAAATCCGTGGAAAAAGCTGCAGGTTCCAAATTGGAATGGGCAACTTCCACTGTCCCAGGGTGCTCCAAGTCCCATCCAACCTGGGCTTGGGCAATTCCATGAGGGCTCAGCAGGATAATTCCCTAGAAAAGGGGCCAAAAGTTGTGCAATCCCTCTGCTTCCCTTATCCCACCTTTCCAGGGGTTTCTGGAAGTGGGGAGGAAACTGGGATGGAGGTCCCAGGATTTGGCTGTTGTCAGTTCCAGGGGATGGATGGATGGATTAATGGATAGATCCATGGATCCATGGATGGATAGATGGATCCATAGATGGATGGATGGATGGATCCATGGATGGATAGATGGATCCATGAATGGATGGATCCATGAATGGATGGATGGATTCATGGATCCATGGATCCATGGATGGATATGCCATTCCCAAAAAAGAGCCTCTCCCTGGCTTCAGGAGCAGAACTTGCCCATGGATCAAACGGTATCCAAAAGCTGAGGGAGCAGAGGAGGGAAAATGGGATTTCCTGGGCTGGAGGATGCTCCTGGCAGAGACACCTGGAATTCTGGCCCTTGGAAAACTTCAGTGCTGGCAAAGCCTGACCAGATTCATAGGATCCACTATCCCCCCCCGTGTCCCTGGAATCACCTCAGGGACACAGGAGGCATCCCTGGAAGTTGGGATGCACCACGAGGGCAAAGCCTGGCGGGTCCCGGGGTTTGGGGCATCCCAAACTCTCTGATCCCGGGATTTGAGCAAGCTCCAGGTAGAGAACCGACCTGGGTGGGGTTGGAAACCAGAGCTGCTCCTCAGGGCTGATAAAATTACAGATGACCCAGAAAATTTCCCTTTTTTCCATCAGCAGAAACGGCGGGGAAGGGAGGGAGCAGGGCCCTGATGAATTATGGATCACTCGGAATTGAACGGTGGCACAGACGAGTCCTGAATTTTTAATTCCGTCTTGCTCGGATCCTGCCGGGGGAAGTGGCCTGGGAAGGATCCGAGGAAGGACAGGAGCTTCTCTGGGGAACCTGTGCCAGGGCTTGCCACCTCCACAGCCAGGAATTCCTTCCCGAGATCCCATCTGTCCCTGCCCTCTGCTGCAGGGCTTGGAATGGCTCTGGTTTTGTCATGGATTCATGGAATGCTTTGGGAGGGAAGGGACCTTAAGGATCATCCCATTCCAACCTTGACACCTTCCATCCAGCCTGGCCTTGGACACTGACAAGGATCCAGGGATTCTCTGGGAATTCTAGCCCAGCCAGGAATTCCTTCCCAAGATCCCACCATCCCAAGCTCCCCTTTCCCACTGGAAGCCATTCCCTGTGTCCTGTCCCTCCAGGCCTTGTCCCCAGCCCCTCTCCAGCTCTCCTGGAGCCCCTTGAGGCCCTGGAAGGGGCTCTGAGCTCTCCCTGGATCCCTCCCTTCTCCAGCTGGACATTCCCACCTCTCCCAGTCCCTGGAGCAGCTCCAGGGCCTCCTCTGGGCTCATTCCAGAGCTCCAGACCCCAGTGCTGGATCCTGGAGCTGGCACAGCTCTGCAGGGGGGATATTCCAGGAGGAATTTCCTGTTCCTTCCTCAGCCCTCTCCAGGCATTGAGCACCTGGGAGCCAAAAGCCCCTGGATCCCCCTGGATCCCAGAGGAGCAGGGAAGCCACCACCATGCCTGGGAATGCTCTGGATTCCAAACAGGCTAAAAAACAGGGAGAGCCGCAGGAATCCAGAGCCCTGCAGGCTTCACCCCTGAGGAAAAGCTGGAATTGGCCTGGATGATCCTTGAGGGACCGTTCCAACTCAGGATATTCCATGGAATAAACCCAAGGAATGCTTTCCAAAGCTGCTCTGGCAGATAGGGAATAAAGTTGTTTTCCAAACCCGATATTTCATGGAATAAACCCAAGGAATGCTTTCCAAAGCAAAAGTGCTGCTGCTCTGACAGACAGGGAATAATGTTTTTTTTCCAAACCATGAAATCCAGGTGGATACAGTTTTTCCTCATTTTGGAGAAGAAGAAGGACGTTTCCATGTGACGCATTATTTCTTCTGGGTCAGGAATTATGGAGCAAACCAAGGAAAGGTTTTCCCCTTCCATGTCCTGCAGGGCACCTTGGAGACAGAGCTCTGCCGGGATTGATCCGTGCTTGGAATGTGGAAAATGATGGATGGAGGTGGAAATCCTGCAGGGACCTGGAGGGGCTGGGGCATTTCCAGGGCAGGGAACGGAGCTGGGAAGGGAATGGAGCCCCAGGAGAGGCTGAGGGAGCTGGGAAGGGAATGGAGCCCCAGGAGAGGCTGAGGGAGCTGGGAAGGGGCTCAGCCTGGAGAAAAGGAGGCTCAGGGGGGACCTTTTCCCTCTCCACAACTCCCTGGAAGGAACCAGAACAGATTGGGATCTGCTCCCAGGGAACAGGGACAGGATGAGAGGGAATGGCCACGGGGAGGTTCAGGTTGGAGTTTAGGAACAATTCCTTCACATCATTGGAGCTTGGAGCCGACTGGGATGGTGGAAAGAATCAGGATGAGCTCCAAGGTGCATTCCCACCCAAAGCATTCCGTGACTCCATGACGTGGTGCAGCTGGATGAGGAGAAATCCCTGCTCCTTTTTTGAGTCACCAGCATGGAATATTAAGGATATAACAAAGTTAAAGGTGTCCATTCCGTATGGAAGAGGCCACTTTGAGATCTCTCGGTGGCATTCCAGGAATTCGAGAGTGATGGTTCCCAAATCTCCTTCTTTCCTTATCCCAAACAGCATTCCCTTGGAACGGCTCCTCTCCCGGCTTCTCCTTTTTCCATCACCTCTGCTGAGCCTCGATCTGGGATCTCACCTCTCCCTCCTCTAAAGAAAATGGGAAACAAATCCCTTTTCCCATGAAAACCCAGTGCTGGTGGGTGAGAACTCCCGGGATTTCCTGTCCTTTGCTCCGCAGGCTCATCGGGACATTCCGAATGGTCCTGCAGAAGGTGGTGGCGGAAGGGCAGCTGGAGGTGACGGACACGCTCATCGACGACAACAATTCTGCCATCCAGGTGGGTCACCGAGGCCAACATTCCCATCATTCCTGGATCCCTGTGTCCATGTCTCCGCTGTGGGAACAGGGATGTCGGTGTTCCTTGCCTTGATCCCGTTATTCCTGCTCTGAAGGGATGAGGCAGCCGGGAATGTCCGGAGGGTGCACAGGGAAAGCCGGATTTGGAAAAGGAAGTTTGGGATTGGGAAAAAGCAGGGATGGACCCGGTTTGATCTGAGCACGGAGAGGGAGAAGCAGAGCCCAGGATGGAATCACTGAATTCCAGGCTGGTTTGGGTTTGGGGAAGGACCTTAAATCCCATCCCATTCCAACCCTGACCTCCCACCATCCCAGGGTGATCCAGCCTTTCCTTGGACACTGCCAGGGATCCAGGCATTCTCTGGGAATTCCAGCCCAGCCGGGAATTCCTTCCCAAGATCCCACCATCCCAAGCTCCCCTTTCCCACTGGAAGCCATTCCCTGGCTCCTGGCCCTCCAGCCCTTTCCCAAATTCCAGCTCTCCTGGAGCCTCTGGAAAAGGCTCCAAGGATTCCCTGGATCCTTCCCTGATCCAACTGCACATTCCCAGCTCCTCCAGCCTGGCATTGGATCCATCGCCATCCCAACTCCCCTCTGGGAAGGAATTTCAGGAACAATGGGGTTCACTGGGAATCTCTGGACTCCTGGAAAGGTCTCCCTTCCTCCTTCCTCCCTTTTACATCCCCAAACTTCCACAAAAATCCCTCTGAATGGATTCCGAGTGTCGTGTATCATGGAATCATGGAATGGTTGGGGTTGAAAGGGACCTTAAAGCTCATCCAGTTCCATCCCTTTCCAGGGGGCAGGGACAGGTGGGATATTAGGAAGGAATTCCTGGCTGGTTTGGGTGGGAAGGAGCTGGGCTGGAATTCCCAGAGGAGCTGTGGCCACCCCTGGATCCCTGGGAATGTCCAAGGCCATGGATGGGGCTTGGAGTAGCCTGGGACAGTGGGAAGTGTCAGCGCTGGAATGAGATGGGATTTAAGGTCCCTTCCCACCCAAACCAGCCTGGAATTCCAGGATTCCATCCCAAGCCCTGGCCAGGCTAGGAGGCCAACAGGAATTCCTTTGCCACCAGGAATTTGGGAGGATTCAACTTCCATCCACTGATTTCCCTCTCTGCCCTTTGTGACACCGAATGATCCTAAAAAATGCAGGATTTTCCTCCCTTGGAGGGCGATTTTCATCAGGAAAATTCCCAACAAACCAGCGAGCAGCTGGAATTATTTTTCCCAAGCACATCTACACTCCTTGCGTTTCCCCTCCCTCCTCAGGACTGCATTCCTGGTTTTTATTTGTTCCACTCCCTCTATCCCCCCCAGGAACAGCCACTTAATGAATTCCTGCTCTCCTCCCTGCGAATTCCAAGAATTCCCGCCCCTGTCCTTGGTGCTGGATGAGGCAGCGGCTTCCCGGGAAAAAGGCGGGGGGCGGGCGGCTGATTTTTAATGGAGCCCCCGGGGTTGGATATCAGGATCAGAAATAGCTGCGTTTCCCAGCCACTTCCAAAACTCCGTTTCCATGGGAAACGGCTCCAGGGAGATGGGAGCGCAGCGAGGGAAGCGGCGGATGCTCCGAACAGGGGGAGATTTTCCCTCGGGATGGGGAATCGGGATCAGGGGTGCGCTCCCGGACTGGGGGGGATCTCATCCTTCTTTTCCCAGAGGGGGGTGGGAATGATGGGATTCCCGGTGAGGAGCTGCCTCGGGGATTTTCCGTGTGATCCAAGGGGTTGGGAAAACAGTCAGAAGCCAGATAGAGCACGGAGCTGTTCCAGGGCTGGGAGAGGTGGGAATGTGAAGCTGGAAAAGAGGAAGATCCAGGGAATCCTTGGAGCTGCTTCCCGATCCCAAAGGGAGAGCTGGAATTTGGGAAAGGGCTGGACGGCCAGGAGCCAGGGAATGGCTTCCAGTGGGAAAGGGGAGCTTGGGATGGTGGGATCTTGGGAAGGAATTCCCGGCTGGGCTGGAATTCCTAGAGAATCCCTGGATCCCTGGCAGTGCCCAAGGAAACGTTGGACGGGGCTTGGATCACCCTGGGATCATGGGAAGTGTCTCCAGGAAGGGATTGAAGGTTCATGGATCCCATCCCAAACCATTCCAGGATTCTGGGATCAAGGGCACTCAGGATCCTCCCGAGGGATTTTGATGGAATTTGGGGGATGGAAAAGGGAAGGGAGACCCTTCCTGGAGTCCCCAATTTCCAGGGAAGCCCCTGGATCCCAAAATTCCTTCTTACTGGGGTTGGGAAAACAGTCAGAAGCCAGAGGAGAGCACAGAGCTGCTCCAGGGCTGGGAGAGCTGGGAATGTGAAGCTGGAAAAGAGGAAGATCCAGGGAATCCTTGGAGCTGCTTCCCGATCCCAAAGGGAGAGCTGGGATTTGGGGAAGGGCTGGAGGGCCAGGAGCCAGGGAATGGCTTCCAGTGGGAAAGGGGAGCTTGGGATGGTGGGATCTTGGGAAGGAATTCCCGGCTGGGTTGGAATTCCCAGAGAATGCCCGGGTCCCTGGCAGTGTCCAAGGCCAGGCTGGACACATCCCACCTTGGGATGGTGGGAGGCATCGGGGTTGGAATGGGGTGGGGTTTAAGGTCCTTTCCCACCCCTCCCGAGGCAGTTTCTGGGAGCAGCCTCATTTTCCGTAATGGAACCCAAAGGAAAGGTTGGAAATCCTTTTCCTTTTTTTCTGGGCTGGCTGAGAACCTTCCCTGGCAGCTCCCGTTCTCCCTCCTGACTTTATTGGCTTGGCCAGGAGATTAAAAACTCTGGGAATGCCAGGAGCAAAATTCCAGCTGTGTCCATTCTACAACAGCAAAGCCAGGATGGCTCTAAATTAATTTTTTTCTCAAGCAGCAGGGGGGAAAAAAAATCCAGAAAGAATCAATTTAAAATCCCCAGGGAAAGATCAACCTCTCCCAGCTTAGCAGGGAATTTTCTCCTTCTTCATTTTCTTTCCCATTCTGTTGTTTCCAACAGGAATTTCTCCTAATTCCAACCCACACCTGCTAATTGCCCTTCCAAGGCATGATCCCACTCATCCCACAAATCTTTCACTTTGTTATATCCTTAATTTTTCCTGCCTTGAAAGGATTTTTAACTGCTAAATCCAGCTGGAAAAGGAGATTTTGAACCCCCAAATGTCTGAAAATGTGAAAAAACCAGAATATTCCAACTGTGATCCCTGTTTTTCCTCCTCATTTCCTGGTTTTTGTTTTTTTTTTTTTTTTTCTTACATTCTCCAATAGCTTTGGGGAGGGGGGAAATTAGGTGTGATTGACTCAAATTTGGATTTTGCCAAAAAAAAAAGAAGATAAATCAATCAGAACCTTCCCCCAGAGCTCCATTCCCAGCTGGGACTGAGTCACTCTTTGGCTGTCACGTGCGGGATGCACAGAATCCCTCTGGAATTGTTGCTCTCTTCCCAAATCTTGGATTTTCCAGCCTTCCAGCATCCCCCTTGTTTGGAGCGGGTGGGGAGGCTGCACCTCTTTTTAAGATAAACATGGAAAAAAGAGGATTTCTGTAAGAAATTTCCCCACTCCCCACTTTTTAACCTTTTTTTTTCTTTTTTTTTCCTTTTTTTGTTTTTTTTTTTTTTCTTACATTCTCCAATAGCTTTGGGGAGGGGGGAAATTAGGTGTGATTGACTCAAATTTGGATTTTGCCAAAAAAAAAGAAGATAAATCAATCAGAACCTTCCCCCAGAGCTCCATTCCCAGCTGGGACTGAGTCACTCTTTGGCTGTCACGTGCGGGATGCACAGAATCCCTCTGGAATTGTTGCTCTCTTCCCAAATCTTGGATTTTCCAGCCTTCCAGCATCCCCCTTGTTTGGGGCGGGTGGGGAGGCTGCACCTCTTTTTAAGATAAACATGGAAAAAAGAGGATTTCTGTAAGAAATTTCCCTACTCCCCATTTTTAACCTTTTTTTTTTTTTTTTTTTTTTTTTGGTTTTTATCTAAAATCCGTTGGTTCTGAACCCGAAATAACAGATAATTTCTCCATGGAAGCAGAGTGGAGGTGGAAAAGTGCTTTTTCCTTGTACTTTAATCTTGTCAGCAGCTGATGGCTTTTCAAAAGAATCATTTTATAGGAGAAGGAATTGGGAATTGCTTTTTTTTTTCCCCCCCCAATCTACTTTGTCCAAACCTGAGCTTTTAGAAGGATTTTGGCCACAGGAGTGAAGGCAGTGGGATGAAATCCCATGGATTTGATTCCATTTGGAATGCAGGGAATGATTTTAGGGAGAAAAAAATTGAAAGATTTTAGGGAGAAAAAAAAGAAATATTTTAGGGAGAGAAAAAAGGAAATATTTTAGGGAGTAAAAAAGAAAGGTTTTAGGGGGAAAAAAGGGAAATATTTCAGAGAGAAAAAAGGAAAGATTTTAGGGAGAAAAAAGGAAGTATTTTAGGGAGAAAAAAAGAGGAAAGATTTTAGGGAGAAAAAAAGGAAAGATTCCATGGAAGCAGAGTGGAGGTGGAAAAGTGCTTTTTCCTTGTACTTTAATCTTGTCAGCAGCTGATGGCTTTTCAAAAGAATCATTTTATAGGAGAAGGAATTGGGAATTGCTTTTTTTTTCCCCCCCCAATCTACTTTGTCCAAAGCTGAGCTTTTAGAAGGATTTTGGCCACAGGAGTGAAGGCAGTGGGATGAAATCCCATGGATTTGATTCCATTTGGAATGCAGGGAAAGATTTTAGGGAGAAAAAAATGAAAGATTTTAGAGAGAAAAAGGGAAAGATTTTAGGGAGAAAAAAGGAAATATTTTTGGGAGTAGCAGAGTGGAGGTGGAAAAGTGCTTTTTCCTTGTACTTTAATCTTGTCAGCAGCTGATGGCTTTTCAAAAGAATCATTTTATAGGAGAAGGAATTGGGAATTGCTTTTTTTTTTCCCCCCCCAATCTACTTTGTCCAAACCTGAGCTTTTAGAAGGATTTTGGCCACAGGAGGGAAGGCAGTGGGATGAAATCCCATGGATTTGATTCC